CTTAAGTATCTCTATTAAATATAGCACTTTTACCTTAAATATAAAGTAACACTAGGTAGTAAAGATAATACGTTAGAGGTCGCTTTAGACGCCTTATTTACTAATAACTTACTAGACTATTATAGCTTATAAGCGTATACACTAAAGCTATTTAGAGGGCTTATCTCCTAGTAAGCTAATAAATAAGATATAGTAGTAATATTAACTACTAAGGCTAAATTACTAGCACTATTATTTACTATAAAAAAGGCGCTTTTTACTAGTAGATTAATTACTACACTAGGTATTTAACTATTAATATAAATAGAAACTAAATTATTACTTAATAAGTAGGTAGCTACTAAATAACTACTAACTATTTACGTTAGTTATAATAATACCTAGACTATTAGGCTTATTACTAAGGAGCTTATCTAACTATAGATAAGGCTATAGTATATAAATATTTATAACTACTAGCTATAATAAGAAGTAGTAGTAAATTAAATTACTATTAAATATAAGAAGTCTACTAAATTAATAGCTAATAGATTAATAAAGGCACTTAGCGTGCTATAATTTACTATATTTATAGCTTAATTAAATATAAGTAACTAACATATACGCCTTAAAGTAAATTAATAGTAAGAATTAGCTAATAATAAAGTAAAGCTTTACTACTAAATAGAGAAGAAAAATATATAGGATATTAAAGAATAATTAATAAATAAATAGGCTATATATAGAGGATATTTAGCGTAGGCTTTATAGTAATTAACTGCGTTACTAGCGCTAAGGGGGTGTGTTAAATATAGCAGAATTATATATAAATTAACTAGTAAATATATAGTTACCTTATAGCAAATTATTAGGGAATAGGTAGTAAATTAGCCCTACTTTTAGGGCTAATTTACTAATAATATCGCTAGGATTAGCTAGGGATTTCCTAACTAAGAAATAGGGGGTTTTCCCTATTTCTATAGTAATTCACTATAGATACATAACACATAACAGAATCAATCAAGTAACTATTACAATCCCTACGATTTAACAAAAGTAGACCTACTTTTATATTAAAGATATAAAAAGTCTATTTTTAGTATAGACACTAATAGATATTATATTTATCTAGAGAAAAATATAATATAAGTATAAGGTGTATTAACTTAAAGATATTAATATATAGTTACTAATAATAGAAACTATACTAAGAAACCCTTATAATAATCTTTGAATTTATACTATATATTAATTATAGAATTTATTATCTTAAGCTAAGCCTTATTATTACTATATTTTAAAAAAATACAAGTCTTTATACAAAATACACTTTTTACTCTCTAGTAATGTAGTTAGTAAAGCCCTGCTACACTTATTATGGCCCTTGGCCTGTAACAGATATATAAGGTTAGTAGTTAAGATAGCTAGGGTCTAGGTTAGGGTCTAGGTTAGTTACTTATGTTTACGTAATAGAACAAAATATAGTATTTCTATACTAACTAATTAAAATAAGTAAGTAACTAACTAGGATAGGCTTAGAGAGCTGTTAATATACTAAAAGGGGACTGTTAATTTACTAATAACCCTTAGTTTTAAGTAATTTAAGGTTAGGTAATTAATTTAAGGCAAAATAGAGGTAGTAGTAGTAATTTATTTAAAAGTTTATTTTATTATATAACTATCTATAGCCTAAATTAATTCTGACTATACTGCCTATACTGCCTATACTGCCTATACTGCTTATACTGCTTATACCGCTTATACTGCCTGTATAGTAGTAGTAGCAACAGCTGCACTCTGCAAAAGTTAGGTATAAGGGCTCTATCTTAGGTATTATAGGTGTCTGTTAGTAATAGTAGATTTGTAGCAAAAAGGGCGTTTCTTGTATAGGTTATAGACTGTAGCGGCAGCGGTAGTAGCAGTACCTTCTAAAATAGGCTTAAATCACTGGCAGACTACCAAAGGCACACTGGCATTTTACCGGCAACCTAAATCTGCTGCCCTCCGACGCATACTATGTACACTCACTAGTCACTAGATTCTTGGCGTTGCTTGCAAGGATTACACTCTCCTACATATTAATATCCCGAAATTCACCGTCATAGCCTTCTCTGTATCCCCATTGTCGCATCACATCTTATTTTTATCGTCCAATGCTCTCGAAATCCCTTTCATCGTGAGCGCATATTATGGCGACAATGGTTGGGTAGTTTTCTTGCATCTCCAAATTGGTGGCTTGTCACTAAATCATGTTATTCACATTTCATATGAGGCCTGGTGTCGATATTCGTCTAGGCGTCTGCCAAGCACAGCTACTCTCCTTCATTCCTCTCGTTACCCCATCGCGATAGAAAGTTCATCACAACTGTTGTTCAAAGGCCGGCCTGCTCATAAACGGGGTCTGAGCCTAGCAGGTACTTTAAAGCAGCTAGCATGCTAACTACTATCCTGTGCCGCCCTTTCTCTGTTTTCCGGTATTTAAATGCCATAGCCTGTGGAATTTAGCGCTGTGAACTGCTCAAGGAACATCTTATCAAGTTATTGGTATGATGTTCTGGCTACTTCAGGCGAAAGGAACTAAAGAGGTACCGTAGATAATACTGAAAGTTCACCGAAAATAAATGCTATCTTGGCCTTGAGGTCTGCTTAAACGTGGTTAGAAAAGAAGGAGATAACGGGAGATTACATTGTCTAGACAAATCCCTGTTTCCAACATATGTGCTTTAATTATAATATTATGTCTTTACATAATTAATGAATTACAAAAACAATGTTCTAAAGAGTCTAAGTTACAGCCACAGTCACAGCATGAAGACGCAAAGTTACCTTTTCAGTCAACATGGAGTACGCTACAGGGCTAAGATCGACGTAATAGATGAAGTAGTATGCCATGCTTAAAGAAACAGATCAGTGCCACCAGTCAACCTCATTTTCTGGAGGCTTTGCAATTTCATGGCCCCCTTCTCTAGAAAATTCATAACGTCATTATATGCAGACTGTTTTGTAAGATAATCTACAGAGAGATGAACGCCTTGAAAGTGGTAACATGCAACTTTAAGCTCTTAAGAATAACAGCACTTTCTGAGACTTTAAACTATATATAAATGTGTATCTTCTAGTTTACTGTTGTAATCGGCGAAGATGACTCTGTACCGGTCTGCATCTTCAAGCAACTCCAGCTTACACTATTAACAGACTCCGCTGTGGACGAAAATGTCGCTTTTTGCCGCTCTAGTCTATGACTGTGCAACGGCGTCTGGAGACACAGCTGCGAGTCACAACCTTTGGTCTGTAATGCCTGGGTGCGTCGAGCTCCATCCTGGACGATGTAGGCTTTGGAATTTCCAATAAAGTGATACGAACAAAACATTGAAACGGATTATTTTGGTGGTTTTCACGACAAACTATGTCTTTCGAATCTTAGTTTGCCAGTCGATTGCAGCTTCCCCAGTGCTCATTGGATACCCATTTTCCTTCGATGTACGTCCATTCCCCGACGATCGATCGGTGTGCACCCCAATCTGTCGGAATGCCAAGACGGAGACACGGGGAACTTTCAGCGCATACAAGTCTGAATGGATTCCGCGTGAGGTTGGATAGCCCTTATATCATCTCTTTGTCTAACTGGGAATCCCTTTGAGTTTATCAAACCGACCTGAGAGTGTCCCAGGTACATTGGCTCAACGATTGCGTCCAAGCATTACCCAACGGTAACAATGTCAGCCGCTATCAAGAATTGTCACGCTTGCAACGACACTAGAAAGTTCAAGCCGCTGCCATCATTTCAGGGTCGTACCTCGACCTGGACGCAGAGGCAACCGAAAAAGCCGAATCAGCAAAGTACTGGAGATGCTGGAGTCCTCCTGGGCCTACGGTAACGATACAGCGCCGTCCAAGTGTCCGGTTTAGCCGCACAAGGATGACATAAACCCCGTTTGAGCATTGTTCCGCGGTTACTAAGACGAGGAAATGTTATTGTCCCGCTTCCCAATCATCTACATGCCTGTCGAATGAGTTTCCACCACGCAAATATACGTCTTGCTCCCTTTTCCAATTCGTCCACTCAACGTCTTGATATGCATGATCCCGCCAAAATCCTGCAGGCCAAGGATAAGCTTACCACCTCGCTACATGCTCACCACATAATACCGCAAAATATGGGCCGTCAGCAAGATCACAAAATGACCAATAACGCTGCTAGAGATGAAAGAACCCGGCCCGCTAACGTCTGACAGCACGGCTGCGCCGCCTCTACCTCCTCCCAAAAGTAGTCCAGCCACCAGCTTGCCGTCCAACCCAGCCCCGAGCTGCTAGGCGACGGATTTGCAGCTCAGCCCTGCGACGCAAGCTTGTTGCGCTCGGATCCATGGGGCTGGGTGTCTACTGTCACCTGGAGCAGCTTGGACGACGCCGAGCTTCCTATTTGCTCGGAAGGATCCGAGTGTAGAGGGAGGAAGGATGGTATCAACGACACATGACATGGATAACAGTCTACATCATAGGCTCCTCTCTAGTATGGTTAATAGCTGCGCCGACACAGATGGGCGATGCTGTTGCGCAGCAAACTCCTGTGTGCTCGTCGACTTACACCGATTTCGGCTTGGGATGAGGGACATCATGGCCACCACAACAACACAACGTGCTGATTAGTTGCAGCCTGCAGCAGAATCCCTCCGAAGGAACACAGCCGGCTGGAAAGCAGGGTGTCATTGAGAATGGTCTCCAGGCCCATGAATGGTTAATTTTGTTGCAGTTGTTTAACGTCTATAAATCGGCCTCCATCTCCATCCCAAATTGCGTTTCTCTCCTCCTCATCATCAAACACTCATCCAACTCTTCAACACCTCAAGCAATCCCCCCCCCCCCCCCCCCCCCTTTTTCTTTTTCATTTCCTTATTTCCTTTGTCGGTTTCTCTTTCTTTGGGACAATCGTTCAACTCATAAATCTATCTTCACTTCAACTGATCCACACCAATTGTCTACTGCTTGATTTATTCTCCATCATACCTACAGAAGTCACAATGCATTTCTCTACTGTTTTCACCCTCATTGCTGCCACCGCCAGTTTCACCGCGGCGGCTCCCTCTCACGACGTCAAGCGCGATGATACAGTCTGCGCTCCTGGTACTGGCTTCTTCCAGTCCTGTGCCAGTGGCTTCCGTGGTTGCTGCAAATACGACGCCTGTACCATCGGCTACTGCCCCTCTACTTCGGAGAAGCGTCAAGATCCCACATTCTGCGCCCCTGGCACCGGATTCTTTCAGTCTTGCTCTAATGGCTTCCGGGGTTGTTGCAAAGCTGACGCCTGCACTATCGGCTACTGTCCTAGTTCCGGGGCTGAGACCGTCGAGCGTCAGGATCCTACTGTTTGCGCTCCCGGAACTGGTTTCTTCCAATCCTGCTCTAACGGTTTCCGTGGCTGCTGCAAGTCTGACGCCTGCACCATCGGATACTGCCCAGACGTCAAGGCATTCGAGACTGTGATCAAGGCCGCCCCCACACCCACCCTCACAACCGAAGTCAAGCCTAACAACAACAATGGCAATGCCGACCCTACCGTTTGCGCTCCCGGCACTGGTTTCTTTCAATCTTGCTCCAACGGTTTCCGTGGTTGCTGCAAATTTGATGCCTGCACCACTGGCCACTGCCCTTCCAACCAGATCTGGGTTTGAGGCTAGCGATAACTGAATATACGACTTGAGAGGAGTTTTCGATGGTTTTGGTATAATGAAAGGTGGATGATATTGCATTGCATGGTGGAGTTTATCATAGCATTACATTGGTTGTTTTAGGGCTTCATTTACTCAGGCGTTTGGTTGTCATTTTTTAGAGATAATACACCCACGTTCCTTATACATCTCGGATGCATGACATATTTATGGTCCGCCTCTCTGCTGAGCCAAGGCTTACTAACAGCGAGCCATAATACGAAGGTTCGGGAGTTGGTAATGGGAAATGTCAATTTGGGACATTGTGTCTTACGAATGCTGTTATTATACGATAACTGAAATCTACTTGCTAAGGAATCGAGAGGCTATGCTTCGAGTCCTCAGCCAGGAGTGGAAGTGATAGCGAGCTGAGTTCTTCGTATTTCCATACTAATCCTTGCCCTCCGCTTGACGCCAATCTCTCGCCGTGCTTTGCCTCACTCCAATCCTCTGAATCGCCTGTTGAACTCCTCCACTGCGACAGCCACCATTTTGTACAAGAAAGCTCGACCACTTTCATCACCGACAGGGATGAATGGACCGTTCGTGCCGCCTCTCAGAGTGAGACTTAGACCCGTCCGCTCCTTTGAAATGGTTTGGATATCCTTTAGAGGCACATCCCATTCCGAGGTCAAACGGCGGCTGCGAATAAGTAGGATTCTGGCGTACGTGACCATCACTACCATGTCTTCGCGAGGCAGTTCGAGGTGAGCGATGTAGTTCTCGTTGAAGTATTTTCCGTTGTCAACTTGCTTCAACCATGACTGCCCGAGTGCTTCCCGAGCGTTGTAGGGTCGCACAATGCCGTCGGAAGGTATGAATCGAGCAGGGCGGACGCGGTCAAGTTCTGAACCGTCAAACACAGTCGTTGTGTTACGTATGCCTTCAGAAACGTTGGAGGCCATGTCCAGAACACCAATAGCGGGTTTGGTCGCAAGTCCTACGACGCCCTTGCCGATACCCTTGAAGAATCCCAGAGCGCCTTCTTGCTCGGCACCCTCAAGTGGTTTGCGGACGAGCCCGCCCACGCCAGATGCGGCACTCGTAAAAAGCGAGTTGGCACCAGTGGTGACACCGTAAAGAGCATGCTTGGGCCTGTTCCGCGCGCGCGTAATACGACGACGGTCCTGGAATTGCTTGTCAAGAGTTGCAGCTGCTAGACCCTTGGATAAACTGCCGGTAAATTTGGAGAAAGAGTCAGAGAAACCGTAGACAGACTTCTTGACGAGGGACGCTGCTCCTTTCGCGACACCAAGACCAAAGTCTTCGGGTTTGTCCGAGAGAATCAGCCCTTGGTAGGGTTCATAGAACACATCTGTCAGGCCAGAGCTGATGTTGTTAAACAGACCGACTGGATTGCCAAGGAAATCGGCAGAGCCGAGAATCTTGTGAATCTGATAAAGCACCTCTTGGCTGTAATGACTCGATATGTTTTGTGTCAAAGCAGGGACGGACACGCGAACATTGTCGAGCATGAGGGCATTTAGACGGATGGGTGCATCGTTGACGTTGCCGATTGCCATGGTCATAACATTGAGGAAGAACATGAGTGGATTCCGCGACGACGTTTTGTCCTCGGCATTGACGCGTTCCGTGCGCATGAAGGACAGATCGAGTTGCATAGGCTGAATATTGAGCAACTCGAAGTAGATGTCTTGACCGGAATGCTGCTGTTGCGGCTCGGGAATATCTAACTCCTCGTCACACAGCTTGCCTTCTTCATTGGTGTCGGACCAAGAGGCTCCGGGGATGTTCGCAAAGTCCAGAACCGCGTAAACAAAGTCCTCGTCAAGTTCGATTGTCATTTGTTGCATCAGAAGTGTGGCGTACTTGATGTAAAGTACTCCGTATGAGTCGTCCTTCACACGAGTGACCATAGCATGAATCGAAGGATGCGCGTCAACCTCCTGCGCCCTCTTCGGAACTACGCTGGGGTAGAGAATCATCGGGAAAAGGCCGCCATACAGCTGGTTATCAATTTGGATCCACTTGACCGAGAAGCTGATAGTTTGCTGGAGAGGAGAATCATGGTAACGAAGTGAGACGTCCCTGAAAGTGACGTAGGCAAGTTCCTTGAGCTGGGAATTGATGAGTGAAATTCCAATGCCTGACAGCCTGAGCTGGGCTCGGAAAGTCGCAGTGGTCTCCTGATCCTTGACTTCGAAGCCATCGGTACTTGTGCGGGAGCCAGACTTTGACTTTTGCCGGTACAGACTTTTCGATTGCCGGAAGTTAGATAGAATCAAAGTCTGTGTAGGGCCATCGGCGGCCACGTTGATGTCTATGATCTTCTGCTGTCCGGAAGTAGTCGTGAACTTCATTGGGATCTGGTTGCCAATCTCGGCCAGCTTGACATGTCTCTCTTTGCCATAGGCATTGATGATGATCTCGCGGAACTTTGCGGCTGGGAAGTCCCAGGCATACGGCATGATACTCCTGGCCGGTAGCCTGTATTTGATGGGTCTCCAGCCTGACCTGTCCTCAATCCCGTCATCATCCAGACTGGGGTTGGCCTGATAGAAGGTAAATTCCGTGTCGCTCTCGTTCCTCATCTGATACGGCCAATTCTTGGTTTCCCAGCTGAGGTGCAGGAAAATCGTAGCGCCTTCCATCAGGATCTCAATGCGAATCAGTCGTTGGCGTTGTCCCGCCTTGGCAATCTTGACATGAGTGGTACCGATGTCCGAGATGTTGAAGGGTGAAGTCCACTGATTGTTCATTCCCGGATGACAGAGTGAGAGCTGCTTGACCGCCGTCTTCTGCATGAAGTGAAGTGGTTGATGCGCGCCTGGCTTCAGCGTCATAAAGCCCGACGAGCTTGATTCGCGAACGTTGACTTCCTCTCCAAGCTTGTTTTCAAGGACAAACCTTGGCGCCAACGTAACGACTTTGGTCATCTTGTACTTGCCCTCTCCTGCCTCAATCGTAATGCCGATGTGCACCTCGGTGTTTCTAGAGGGAGATGGCAGTACCACCTCTGTTGTACTACCAATAGCGTCGAAACTTTGCGGCTTGCTCCATTCGGAGTCGGCGATCTGCAGCAATGCTCGGTTTCTATGATCGTCGTTGCCGTACGAGAACATGAACGGAGTGGCCTTAGGACGATCTCTGTCAGACCTGGACCTGTTGGACAGAGTTGACTGGCCAGCCGCAGGCCGCGCGCCCTGCAGGAAACCCTTGGCCCTTATTTGAAGATCGAGCCCAGTCTTGTTCAGAATGACATAGGGACTGTAGACGGTCACGCGGAAAGCCCCGCCGCCGTCTGGAATCTTGTAGTAGTGGAGCCTAAGATTGAGCTGCAGGCCGTCAGCATCCTTGCAAAGGAGTCTGTCCTCTTTTTTGAAGTCATCTGACGACCCGGAGTTGATGATGGCAAAGTCACTGGGTTTGAATACGGTGTCCTGCATGTCCACACTGAGGAGGAGAAGATGAGACAGCTCCACGACATGGACCGGACTGAGGCCACCCTTGCGAAGGAAGTTCGCCCAGTCCTTCTGCGTCTTCTTGTCATAAATGCGGTACTTGAAGTCGTAGGGAAGAAGGTTCTCGAGAATCACTGGCGGCGACAGTTTGATACGCATGTACGGGTAGTTTCTGGTTGAGTGAAACGGTCAGTAAATATCAAGTACAGGAAGCAGGGGTACTTACTTGGTCAGCGGGTTCGACTTGTCGAACGTAGCATTCAATTGGAAATAGAACGGGTCGCCGTTCTCTCCTTTGCAGACCATCGTCCGCGTAGGTCGCTCCAAGAGATCTCTCCACCACAAGGCCTCAGAAGACCATGCATACCCAAAGCCTGAGTCGGGTCGCACCAGCAAGGACTTCATGAACACAGCTCCCACCGGAGCGGGGCGGCTCTCCCCAGGAGCAATCTTCTCGATCTTAAGCAGGTGACCCTCTTGAGCGTCGTAAACGCCCAGCTCGACAGGTATCTGGGTCAGGTTATCAACCACGAGGGGCGAACGAAGAGTGACGTATTTGACGTTGTCCTTGCCCAGAGTGACTTCGACAAGCAAGCGATGCAAAACATTGTCAGTCTTGGGCCTCAGGCCATAAATTGCCTCCCCCTCGCGGTTCAGTCGAACGCTCTTAACCGGGTCAAAGCCACTACCCTCCAGATGGATGCCCACACTACCGGTACCACCCTCCGTGGATAGATTTTCTCGCATCTTTTCCCAGGGCTCAAAACTCCAGGGCGCTTCTTCGCCATCCCCGAGGCGGGTTGTCATGTTGTCGTCTGTTGTCGTGCTCTTCGACTGTATCACGACATCAAAACCAGTGTAGTTACGGATGCGATACGGGGCATCAACTCCACGTGGCTTGCCGAGAACATCTTCATCTTTGCTGAGAAATGCGAAAGACTTGGAGGCCAGCGCAATAGTGGCAGTTGTGATCGTGACGTCGAAGACTTTCTTGGATGCAACGTCGATGGATAGCAGCCCCGACTGCTGCTCTCGCGCGATCCCGAAGCCGACCTGCCAGGGTTCAAGTAAGGGCTCCCATGCCGACTTGGAAAAGTTGTAGACATTAGTGTAGAGGTCGACAGCTGTCTCGGCCTTGAGGTTAGAGGACCAGTCTTCGGCCGTGGCAGTAAAGCTTTTGATACCCAGGTCGAGGATGGGAAGCTCGTGAACGTCGCCAATGAGAACCACACGAATGCCTTCGATGGTTGCTGATAGTTCTTCATGACGTTTCAACGGGACCTGGACAGCTGTGCCATACGGGTCTTCGTGATCTTGTTTTGCTTGAGACGCAGCCACCTTGGCCGTCCTGGACACAACGGTCTTGTTCGCCATTGTCGATGGTCCTTTACCACTGGCAGTTCGCTGCTTGAGGCCAGCCTGGCGTAGTTGCTTCGCCTTCTCATCCGCAGTGGAGGCAGACTTCTTGTCGTCCTGCTCCTTTTGTTGTTGGTCTGATAGTTCGGTGGCCTTGCTGGCGATTTGAAGAGCAAGGAGAATATCTCTCAAGGAAAGTCGTAGAATCAAAGGTTCGATATCTGCATGAATGCTTGTGATGTTGGGCTTTGAGCTATCCATTGACATCTGAACGGAGAAATCGTCAATGATCCGGAGGCGGGAGTCTTCGAATCGATCCATTCGGCAGAGGAACATTCCAATTTCGGAAACTTGAAAGGTCAGAGCGTGCTGCTGTGAGAGCAAAACCTGTTTAGTGCCAAGTACGATGGCCTCTGAGCTGGCGCTGAGGGGATTTGCAATCAAAATGACCTGCGCATCCACAATGTTTACCCTATACGCAATGCTCATGGTGCTTTCGGGCTTGTCATCGGCTTCCGCCTGGGGCGCTTCGGCCTGACCGCTGTTACTCTCCTGCGACTTGGCTTTGTTGGACCAAGTCACCTGCATAGAGTCGGCATCCGATTCCTCCGGCGTCTCCAGAAGCGACTCCTCATCTGCTGGCGAAGGTTCTTCGGGCTGTAGGCCAACCATGACAAAGTTCTGAATGGCGAAAAGGTAGTCGAGTGCGAAGATGATGCGGGGACTGTCGATAGTAACGATAGCAATGAGGTTTCTTTCCTGGCCCCCTGACATTGTAATGCTGGCCATCAGCTGCTGTACCTCTTTGTTGGAAGATGTCATGATGCGCCGGAACTTGTTTGTTTCGCGAGGACGACTATCGTAGATAGTAAATGAGTGGATGAGAAATTCGCCCTCGAGAGAGCCATCATTGAGCATGCGTGTTTTCAGTTTGGTACCGTCCAGGGAAAAGCGGGACAGGCTAGCATCCTCGAGTTTGCCAATCGGCTTCTCCTCAGGAGCTAGCAATAGCTCCATGCCAATTGTATTGACCTGGAAGACCAGATCAAGTTTCGTCCATGATTGATTTTTAGGTGAAAGCTCAGGCCCAAGATCAACTTCCCTCTGGCCATCAGGTGAGCTCTTGTCATTGGGCACAGACCTCGCTCTCTGTAGTGTCTCTTTATCAACTTCACGCTCGGCCTCTTGATCCTGCTCTTCTGAATCGGCAGCGAACGCAGCGGGGACAGCCTTTGAAATCTCCATCAAGAACCTCAGTTGGAACTGAGTAAGTCGAAGGTTGAAATCGGACATGCTGCCTTCTATCTCGAGCTCGGGCCGCTTCTTGCCAGCTTGGTGCTCGGCGTAAGTAACGTTAAAGCCCAGATCAACCTTGTCGATGAGTTCCAACTCTTCAGAACGGTCGCCAGGGTAGTTGAAGTCGGACGTCAGGCGAATGTTCCGGATTCCTGCCGATATCTTTGTCGCTATTTGAGAAGATTCAGAATCATCCAATGGTGCGAACTTGTTCTGGGCATATATTTCTCCCAAGTAGGCGGTGATGACATCCCGCCTAGGCTGCCCGTGGGTGACAACTCGGGGAAAAACAACAATCGGCGTCTTGATCACGACATCGTACTTTAACTTGGTCGTGCTCTGTTGAATCTGGTTGGCCTGCGATGCCGCTGCTTGACGAGCAGCGTTGTAGATGGCTTGCATCTTGCCAAACTTGACGAGGAACTGAATGATCTTTCTAAATGGCTCTTCTAGGAAGTGAAGCTTGACGGATCCAGCCCTCAAATATACCGAGGAATCGTACCCGGGATACGCATTCTTGTTGGTAACGTCGAATGTCTCGTAACGGAAGTCAGCGAGCTCGTCACCTTGAATGGAAATGAGCTGCCTCAGATTGGACTCTTCTGGAACACCCTGATTGATGTCGTCGACCAGGTTGAGGTTTCCCAGTTTCGCACTGACCCGCATAGTCTTGCCTGGCAGAAAAACGCCAATGTCCGCATGGTTAAACGACAAGGTGGCCAAACGGATGCCGTCGTTATTCAAGATCATCCGGATACTCTTCAAGTCCACTTTGACTCTGATAGAGCCTGCACTCGCTTGAACATCCTCTGGTGGAACATTGACTGCTATCTCGACTTCATCGTCTTCGTCATCCGAATCAGAGATAGCCTTCTGTTCCTGCGGCGTTGCCGCCTCGTTGTTGTTCCCCGTGAAAGTTGCTAGGATGAAATCGAGAAGCGTCAGGAGGGTTTTTCTCGTGACAATGAGATTGATTGTGGAAATGGCAGCGGTGACGTTTGTCTCAACCCCTTCATACACCGGCATAAACTCTGGCGACAGGCGGTTGACGCGGGTGAACTTGACATTGACAAGGCTGCGGTTTTGCTCGCGGTCCTCGACGTCTCCAGACGACACAATGGATTTGAACTCTGCTGACGGATTGTCGACAAAGTCATCCATAGTAACGGATCCCAGGGAAACCTCGGCGTTCATGTCGTATGGGCGCAGGTAGAATAGAAGATCAAAGTTTTCTGCGACCAACTCAACGAGTAACTGATCTGGCTTCTTCCTGTCTGGATCGCTTCGATACAGAGATCCCTTGAGTGTGTCCACCTTGAACTTTAGTTCAAAAGAACGCTGCTGCAACTTGAGCTGTTCCTTGTCGTCCCTACCGTTATCGGCGTCCTCAAACTGGTCTTGGTCGTCATCGTCATCGTCGATGACAATGGCTTGCTGTGACTGCATAAAGGGAAATTGTGACGATCTGCGATGATTGGGCTCCTTTCGTGACCGCGATCGATTCGAGGCGGTACTCAAGCCACGTGGACGCGTTGTCACTGCCTGTCCCGTGGAGTCTTCGTTCTGTTCTTGTGGCTGATCCTGGCCAAACTTTGGAATAGCGACGTCGATAATTCGCATCAGGTTCTTGTATTTCGAATCCGAGACGGTAGCATGTAGCATGGGAAGGTGGCCGGAAACTTTGAGTTTCGTCAGGTTCGGTGCTTTGGGAAGGATGGAAGTCTCAACAACGAAGTCGACGTTGATCTCTTCCACCACGTGTAGATGTTGCGTGTCGTCCTTCTTTGACAGCTGAGCTTTCGTCACGTCGATGGACGGGCCTATCAACACCTGCGTAGAGGAGAGCTTCACCAAGAATTTGTCATACATGACAGACTCGAGTCGTTTGAAGTCCTCATCCGTGTACGACTGCCGCTGCTTGGACTGGATCTGCTTCATTGTGTCTTTATCAACCAGTTCGCTGTTAACACTGATATGACCGGCGTCCAGAATCAAGCAGGTAGAGTCCTTGACGGCGATGCTGACTGGAACGATGATCAGCGGAGCCTGCAAGTCAAGCTGGGCATTGATTGTCTTGTGTTCTTCGAGCGCGAACTCGAGACCAGCACGAGTCTGCTCTCTGAAAGTCTCTACTGTAGCACCGGCGGTCTCCATCAGCGCTGTGATGGATTCCATGTGCCTTTCCGGTGGGCGAAAGAAATCTGCAACGCCAACCACAAAGTTTGGGTTCCAGACGATCTCGAGCGGCTTGAGCGACCCACTGAGGGCAATGTCCCCTTCACGGTCAATGGGGTTCTGTTCAACCTCGAAGCGGAAGAAGGGCTCGTCGTCATTGTCTTCGAGTTCTTCAATGGTGAGTCGCTTATGGTCGTGGGTGTCGGGCGCATCCTTGACCCTGACAATCTCGGGGAACAGGGTGTCTGGCGTTGTTCCATCGTTGACACGCAAACCGCCGAGACTGAGATCGGCGAGGAAGGAATCGGGCCGCTGTAGGACCTTGGCTTTGAAAACGTCGAAGTGAAGGCTGAGAAGATCGCTCCGCTTGCCGTTGTGGCTCTTCTTCAACGTGAAGCTTCCAGTACTCAGCCATGCCTCGACTTGCATTTTGACCGAGTCTCGAGGTATGTCCACTGATTCAGCCAACGCTGTCTTCTCGTCAAACTCGATGGCGTCGTAAAGTTCTTTGCGCTGCTCCTCGGTGATTTGCGTGTTTTCGTCGTCCTCGACATTCTGTTCCTGCTGTTTCTGACCGCCGCCGCCCCAAGCCCATGCTAGCCAACCTTGCTGCTCCTGCTTGGGCGGCTGGTTCCTGAGGGCAGCGGCGTTCTCCTTTTTGAGTTGATTGCGGGCCAGCGACCGCCAGAAGCGCAGGTCCTCGTAGTCGAGCTTGAAATCGAGGTTTTTGAGGTCTTCGATTTCCTGGGGACTAAGCTGCTGTTGCTGCTTCCGCTTCTTGAAGAGTTCGATGTAGCGTTTGCGATCGTCACGTCGTTCCTTGAAATAGTCCCAGGACCACCTGCGATTTCTCTCATGGATCTTGCTGAGCACAGCGTTACCGGCAAACTTGAGCCAGGCCCTTGGGTCCTCCTTGGGGGTGACTCCTTTTGGTTGGAGTTTCTTGTATTCTTGGTGGCGGATGAAGTAATGGAAAAGATCGACCATCATCAGACCATCGCGGTATTGGTCATCGTCAATGACCAGGCCGATTTCTTCGAAAAGCAGGCTGGCCTTGGCTTTCGGGGTATGGACGTCCCCGGTTTTGTCGAGGACGATCTTTGCCTTCCCGTTGACAGGGCGCAGGATGAACTGATGATTGAGTTCCGTGTCTTGGGTTGACCCTATCAGGCTCTTGAACTTGTCAACCATCTCGTCATGTGGCATGGGAGGCTTCCCGTCTGTGTCGACCTCTCGTCCGGGACCTAGCAGTTCGGTATCCGTGTTCCAGTAGACGGCGAGAGCGCCAAGGGTCGCGAGCTTGTGGGTGCTTTTCGCAGAGTCCTGGATAAAGGTGGGCTTCCACTGGCCATCGGTGCTAATGGCACTGAACTCCTCAAGCGTCACGCCAAGAGCAAAGGGGTGGCCGGGGGCGGAGATGGCGTCCTCGTATCTGACGTGGATGTTCTTAACCGTAACCTGCAGGTTGTCGACGATCTTGGTGACCAGGCTCTGGGTAAAGCTCTGGTTCTTCTTCTCTTCTTCTTGGCTCATGCCTTCTTGGGACCTCTCCTTGAGCAGCTCGGCCGAGTCGAGTTTCTCCATCTTGACGCGCTGCTTCCGGCGCTCTTCCTCTTCTTCGTCGTAGGCAGCCTCTTCCCTAGGTGAGGCCAGCAGGAAGACGTCTTCGATAAAGACTTTGACGGGTGCGCCGCGCAAGTTTGACCAGGGAATGACGAGGGTAAGCTCGCCAAGGTGGCCTTCCATGACATTGATGGGCAGCTTCAGCTGGTCGAGGGCTTCCCGCCGAAGCTCAAGGTTCCGTAGCTTGACATCGCCAGACCAAATCCCAACCTTGAGCTGTGTCGGGTCAAAATTCTTGACGTACATGCCCAAGAACCTGTTGAGCAGCCCTGCAACTAGTCCCTCCAACATCTTGTATGTATGGCGCCGTTACCCTGGCGAGGGAGACTCGGTGTCGAAGTTCTATCGTGGTATGCGTTGCTCAAAGCATGAGCAGGTAGAGAGAAGAGCTGGAGTTTTCGGAAGGCTTGATGGCAGGACAAATGCGGACCGGAAAAGCAGTTGGAGGGGTCTTAGCCGTCACCAAAGCGGGCGTGGAGTCGAGGTCAAGATGGAGGTGATAGACGGGGCTTCGTGGGTACTGAGTAGTGTCGGGATCGTCGTAGAAAGCCGACAATGGGTATCTTGCGGTGGGGAGGATTTGTTGAGCTCGGTGGGTTTTCCGGAAGACGTGTGCCGTCGTCTGTCGTCCGTCGTTTCTAGGAAGAAGGAGATGCGGACACGGGGCAGAGGCAAGGCAGTAGTCGCTGGGTTGGAAAAGCCGGCTGTCGAAATGCCAGACGGCGGAACAGATGGAAAGTCGATACGAAGAGTCGGCTAGAGATTGATGGATTGCACCGTCAACCGCACAGATTCTATTGTCGGTTGTGCTTCCAGGGTTGGTGTATGGGGGGGTTGGACTGGAACTCTGGGCTGGGCGGGACTGGTTTGTGCATGATGACGCTCCATTCCCTCCCCCGCAGCTGCTGCGGCGTCGAAGTGCCAAAAACAGGTCAACAGCTCAGCTCAGTCTGTGGCTGCTAGCTGCGTCAAGCCACGTAGGGGGGTGAGCTTACCAAAGCTGATGCTCAAGGAGGTTAGCGTCCTACTTGTACGTACACAGCTCATTGGTAGGTAGCGCAAGGGAGAGCAGGCAATCGCATGTGCTGCAGGTTCGCATTCTGCATTCCAGAATACCGCGAAATACCTATCTGTCCAAAAAATAAATAAACAGTCTTCTAGTTACATTGGCCTATCATCACTCTACTCTTCTAGACTATCTTGCAGAAGCAGCGGGTAACTCTCACGATATTTTGCCCTTGCTTGTTCTACATCGTGCCTTCCATCGAACGACAGCATCGACAGGGGCAGGAGAAGCTTGGACCATTTATGTGCTAGCCGCACCCTCTCCCCGCTAGTGGTTCGTCCAATACGGAGCGTCTGGCCTGGGCGTGTGAACGGGGAAACGTCTCCATAATTACGTCACCAGCCGGCAGCTAGAGCTCCAGCACACGTCGATGGCCCTTCGCCTTGCCTCGAGGTTAGATCAACTGGAGGTAATCGGCAGCTCCCTCTCAGCACACAAATAAATCCCAAGCCTCTCAGCACTTGAGCCGATTCTCGCAGCTCTAAAATCATAATCACAGCTTGAATACTCCGAACCTGTTCTCCCAAAGCATTCTTAGCACTCCTTCACACTGTCTAGACAACCCGGGAGCACAACCGGCACTGCAGTTCCCAATTGGCTACGTCAGACCATCTTCGTCTCGTCGGCCCCTGATAGACAGCTTCATGATGCTTCGCTCTTCGCGACAACTTTTGCGCCTTGCTCCGCGCTCGGCGACAGCTCCAGCTGCGGCTCCTTCCACACTTTTCTCCACGGGAGCTTCATCCGGGGCCCTGAGGAGCTCCAAGAGACCATCATTGGCCCTCCAAGCAGCTCGCCTTACTCCCTTGTCTCTCCAAGCACATTACACAAACTCTCCATACGACAAGATCGATAAGAAAGCCGAGAAGGAGATCGCCCAAAAGAAGCTCGAAGCACGCCCGGAAGAGGTCTCTACCGAGTCGACTACGAGGCACTTCTGGGAGCCTGCGCCTGCTAATCCCGAGAATGACGCGAATCTCGCGGGAGGTCTGAAGAAAGAAGTGGTATGGACATCGTCTCCTGTCCACTGCACATGACATTCGCTAACCACGTGCTGGCAGAACATTGTCCGGGATACATTCAACCTCAGCGAGGTTCCGAGGGAGCCCTACGCTCTTGGCCTCGCGGGTACCCTTCCCTACCTTGCGACGTCCCTGAGCACAGTCTACCTCAGCTGGGATCTCAATGTCGAATGGCCATCAACCTCGGCCTTTGTCAACCACATTTACATGAACCATGATTCGGCGCAGTACTGGCTGAGCCTGCTGGAGCCCATTCAGCTCGGATACGGCGCAGTTATCATCTCCTTCTTGGGAGCCGTGCACTGGGTGAGATTGGGAACATATCCAGCTGTGCCCATCGGATCACGCCACTAACGACATGTATTGCAGGGCATGGAATACGCCGAGAAGACGCCACACCCCCGCCGAACACGGTTCCGTTATGGAATGGGAGTTCTCGCGCCCATGATCGCCTGGCCCTCTCTTCTAATGCCCGTCGAGTACGCTCTCACGTCACAGTTTGCTGCCTTCACCTTCCTCTACCTCGCAGATACTCGTGCCAAAAACAAGGGCTGGACCCCTCAATGGTACGGAGTGTACCGCTTCGTCTTGACTGCAATCGTTGGCGCGTCCATCTTCGTCAGCTTGGTAGGCCGTAGCAAGATTGGCAACGCGCAGCCCCACATCGGCGAATCCTTGGCCGAGAGTATGCACAGGGCCAAGGGCGATCAGTCCCGAGACTGGGAAAAGCTCGAGCAAGAAGAGAAGGAGCGGGTGAGGAAGGAGAAGGAGGAAGCGGAGAGGAAGAAGAAGGCCGAGGAGAAGAAGCGCAAGGAGGAAGAAAAGAAGAGCACCAAGAAGGGCGACTCTAAGGGTAAGGATAAGAAGGAAGAAAAGGGCACCGACAAGAAGGAAGGCAAGAAGGAGGACAAGGAGGAGGGCAAGGAGGAGGACACGGAGGAGAGCAACGAGGAAGAGAAGCATGCCGACAAGTCCGAGTCTGAGTCTGGAGCCAAGGACGAAGGCAAGGAGAGCAAGGAGAAGAAGGAGTGAGCATTGTTCTGGCACATATTATCCCATAAAATTCGGGATCCAGAGGTGATGGTTTCCTTTGTGGACGTTTCTGCACGGTGCAATGTCATGGCGAGCCACGTTGTTTAGCTACGGCGTTCAGGGTCACAAATCATCTGCCACATTCAAGCAAAGCCGTCTTTCCCAAAAGTCTTTCCGTTTGTCTCGAGATGGTGGGCGCTTCGCAGTGTGTGGGCCAGTACAAGAACCAGGCCTTCTCTACGACAAGAAGGGGCTATGAAATGCCGTGTCCAAGAGTAGGCATTTACCATCGACTTTGTACCATAGCAATCAGCGTCTCCGGTCAGACCCCCGTCCCCTCATCCTACGTTGCCAACGACCGTGCCGTGGAAACCGTTTTACTCGTTGCCGGCCGCTTGGAGGTGTAAACTAGGGCATATCCCAATCATCGTCCGATATGGACCAGGAAAACTCGAAGTATTAAGGGGGACGCGCAATCTCGGGTTGGCCTCGAGCTCACCTCTCAACCGAAACCGAATGTCGCCAGCTAACGAGCAGGGCCGGACGGCACATGGTCCAATCCACCCTTGCATTCGTCCTTTCTTCACATTTCACTTTGCTCCCAGCTTGCCGTGCTTCGAAGTCGGAGGACGCGCGGCTGATGTGTTTTCTTTCTTTCAATGGAGTGGAACAGTGAAAATACCCTCCCCCCCCCTCTTCCCCATCTCTCTCCTCTCCTAGCAGCAACGCAGCCCGAGCACCAGGCGGCCGATGGGCAAACACGCTGAAATACGAAAGAAAAGCTAAAGCTCAAGAAACGTCGTCGAAATCCTGACACAAGCATGGTGCCAAAAAACAAGATCATAGTTCCACGGGATAGAAACCAGGCATGAACGTCCGTCAAACGGGGTCTGCTGAGGAATGCCGACGGCATACCGGTCACGGAAACCCCACCCACCTCTCCGCCTACCGATGGGGGGGGGGGGGGGTTATGGACGGGAGAGAAAGAGAGAGAAAGGGGAGAAAATCCAAAACCAAGGAAATGAATCCATGTTCGGCTTTTTCTTTTGGTTTCTCTCTTTTCTCCCCTACGGATACTTCGGCCTTCCTTGGCGAACCTGTGGTCTTGTCATTCCGCCTACTCCGTACACATCTCGCCAAACACTTTCTCACGCCCTCCGCTCCCCGCAAAATCCGTTTTGTACCTCCGTTTCCCCCTCCAAGCGGCCACAGGTAAGTGGGATTACACACCGCAGTGGTAGGAAGAGAGTGGAGAGGTGTCATCGATCCCTTCGCGTACATTCGATCTCATCGTCCGCGATCGAGTTGAGGCAGGGATTCGACACAGAAACTTCTGGCGGTTTATGCAACAGTGACAGAAGGGCAGGGCGGCACGGCCCCCTCGTTCAATTTCCCTTGCCGGGTTGCTAGCAGTGTTCTCATACTGATAATATACTGGGTAATCGCTTCATGCAAAACAGCCCGCCGGAGCAAAGCGTCTGAAGGCCTCCCCTCCCCCTCCCCCCCTACGTTCCTTAAAGAACAATAGAGTGCAAAAGTTTATTGCCTCGCTGGCCCCGACTAGACTCGCAATGTTCCCTTTAGATCCGAGCCGCCGCAACTCAAAAACTCTCTTTAGGACCGTGCAGGGCTGCCAATCAATGCCGGCGCCGTCTAATTTTGGAAGAGAGGGAGGTGGGCTATGGTCAGCTGGAGAGACACCCAGCGGTCACATCAGCGCCAGCGACGCCGTCTTGTAAGTCAGTCTGTAAGCCCATTACGCGACACCACTCCCCACGCCCGGCGGTTCTTGGCCTCGGCACGTCTGCCGGCCGCAGACGATGATGAGTCCGGTTCTGGAATACTTTCAGTACGCTATTTCTGATCGTCTCACTATGTAATGGAGGTGGAGGTCGACTTAGCGTTTTTGCAGTGCCGTGCGGTTCAGGAACCTGCAACGATCGCCGCTGGTGACGTCGGGGGGGGGGGGGGGGGGGGGGGTGGTTCTGTTGAGCTTTCAGCGGCATCACTTTCACCTTTCCGTTGCAGCCTCACGACAGCACGTACACTAGTATCAAGGCATACAGAGTAGTGTACATGAATGACATTATATGACATTACGAATGCCCCACCCCTACGCCGCCGCCCTATTGGCACCTTGGTTGAAAGTGATTTGCGTTGCTTGATACGTAGGGCAGTTGTCACTGATGAGTCTAAATTGAAAAGAAAAACTGCAGCGCAACAACGCCCCCCTGACGAGGAACCCCGAGACCGTTAAGCTTCGCCAGACTTCCGGGCTGCTGCATTCAACTGACACGTTCAGCCCTTTCTCCAGCCCCTCCCCACCGATCCGTATTGCCAGTGAACAAAGTCCATTGTCTCTACGCTGATGTCATTGCAGGCGTCCTGCCTTGCGACGCCTCCCCCAAGGAAACGTACGCGCAATGAATGACAAGCCTCCTGCTCAATCCCCCCCCTAAGTGCGGCACTGTTGAACAGGATCCCTGAACACGCCGCCCTAGAAGCGGGACACAATGCCGTCACTGTACGGATACCTGTCCGAACTCTTAACCCCTGGTCGGCCAACTGGCCGGCGGGGTTGGTCCCTCCCGGCGAGAACCCAGAGAGGCTACAGAGAAGACACTACTTATTTCTTGATAGTTTATCCGTATGATACTGGAGATGAACGAACCCTCCACCGGGGTTGACGTCATAGTCACGACGCCTGGTCTCGCGTCGCGCGTCTCATTTCGTGAATCGAACCTAGAGTCTGGAGACCGCCCCCTGGTTTTTTGTTTTTTATTTGCCCACAGTTCACCGTTTTTGTGTGTGTCAAGAAGTACTTGTTGACTCTTGCCAGCTGATGTGAGTAAATGCTGTTTTTTCCACGGTTGGATTGGTTGTTGACTCGCCGTTTATTGGCCGCGTTGCATCGCCTCTCTTGTGCCTTTGCCACATGTGAGAAACAACTCGCTGGTGGAGGGGTAGGTTGAATGTTCCCTCACTCTAGCGGAGTTTCTCCGCCGTATCATGAAGTGCTGTCAAAATCGCGTGTCCACATGTTAGCCACCCCCTCCCCTCCTTCTACGAAACGACGCTCTTGGGTAACGAACAACTCAATCACTTAACCAGGGGGCAGAGCCACCGGCGCTTCATGTTTCCCTCGGCGCATTGTAGATCTTGTGGAACTTGCGGGTACGGTAGTTGTCCCTTGAAGCGTGTAGGATCGCCGTCATCGTAGCCTGTAGCCGGCGCCGCATACGCTTCCGGGACATATTCCGCCGAGTCATTCATCGGGAGGCGCGATTACCCGCCGGCGAGAGATATGTTGAATTCCCAATTGCGGTTGTTTTATTGCATTGGGCATCAAACGTCCCAAACTCTTCAGGCAGACGAGACGAGATCCAAACCGGAGTCACTAACCAGTAGCATAGCGATGCCGTCCGGCGAGGCGTCCGTCATGCGAGCATGCCACAACTGCAAAAGGCCAACCCCGACGAATTGTTTGGTACAACTTTGACTGGTCGCCGGGTCTGACCGCGGTCAGCTTGTCCCCTCTGCGTGCCAGCAAGGCTCTCTCCTCGTGACCGTTGCTGCCTCTTCTGCAATCCTTGATCCCCGCACCTTCACCGAGGATTGGTCGAGGCAGCTCTTCAGGTGATGATGATGCCTGATGATAAGGCGCAATCGAGATTTAGGGGTGCTTGACATGTGGCTCCCCACTTAACCAACGCATTTCAACTGGTTTGGCCCTCCCTACGACCTTGCGAGCCTCGCCAGGCGCGGCCCGGCGCAAAAAGCCGGCACGGTCATCGATACTTGATTCAAATAACATAGGCGGCTTGTGACCGACGGTTCAGATGCTTCTTTGCAGATTCTAGGTTTCCTGTGGGGTGCCAAGGGGGACGAGCGAAACGTCAGTTACAACGGGTCAATCACGTCAACTCTGCGAACGCCGGTGTTTTGCCCTGTGTGCCAGAGCAAAGAGATGCGCACAGGAAGCACCAAGACAATTGCTGGGTTTGGTCCGAAGAGTGAAGGCAAGTGGACGAACATCCAACCGTGGCCTTTACCTCTTGGCTTTTCCATGTTGCCCGAAGTCGGAATCACTATTCAGCACATGGCAAATTCTAATTCAACACTCGGTGCATGGGGCTAGGTTGAGTCGCGGGCTTTTGGTGATCCCACGGAAACTGATTCAGGCCGTTTCATTCGGGGTGGTGCGAGGTGCGTAACTGAGTCGGTGCCCTTCGGTAATTCTTGAGTCGCTTGGTGTGTGTATCCCCAGCAGTTCGGGCATGAGACCATCTTTTTGTACGTGCTCCGACAGTCAAGAGTCAGGCAGTAGAAAGCCTACCGCACCACCTGTCCTATATCTACGTTGGTACAATATACGGTCCGCTTCTGCGTGTGAAACGGAGGAGTTCGGAACGGTGGGAGGAACTGGAATCTGACGGTCAGCGAGCGGGCGGCTCTGGAGGTTGGGCAGACGCGGATTAGGCGGTGAAATGGCGCCGAAACACACCGAGCACGCCCCCCTCCATTACGGTCTGGCGGGTTATCGTTCTCCAGCTTCACTGCAAGTTTGCATCCTCCCGTCGCCGTCGGCACACCCTCCTTCGACGCGGGGTCCCAGCGATCGCCCGGCTACAAAGGACCCTGATGCACAGAATTCCCCTGTGCCCCGGTATGCTACGAGAGGGGCGGGAAGCACAACCAATGTGCTGCAGTAAACCAACCCCCAGTAAGCATTAGCCACAGACGGAGCTTCTATGCATGCATGATGGCGACGGATGCTCGTTCCGCCATTTGGTCCAGGAAAAGGGGAGGACTGCGCTTGATTATCAGTCGAAAAGTCGGGATGCTGCTGACAGAAGCCTGGTGGCCTCGACTTCTGCCGGTTCGAGTGGCCAAGCTAGCAACGGATCATGTTGGAAAAGGGGATTGGTATACTGATCTTGGCTCCATGGCGCGAGATGCGGCTGCGGAGTGGGTGGGTGGCAAGCAGATGACTTGGCCAAACGTCACGAGGATTAGGCTCGCCGGTCCGTCCACTGGTCCAGGTATAAACGCCATGACATTGTCGCGATGGTCGCCTGTGATCAAATTGGGCAGGGGGCCGCCGTTGAGTCAAGAGAGTGACACCAATCCGTAGGCTGTAGGAAGTGTGATCGAATGCTACATGTCACGGTCTGACGGTTTACCGGTATTTGCGATCTGCCGTAAGATGGTCTTTGTCAAACGGAGGTGCCCAACGAGGCCAGCCAAGTTATCGTACTGGCTCACGTCGGAAAACGTGGGCGGGAGTCATGGGCTAGGAAGAATGCGATGCCGCTTTTGATGGCTTACTCGCTGTGTTCCGTTGTGCCATCCAGCCCCATTGCGAAGACAAGGTCATGGAATTCAATTCAGATCGCGCAATTAATCGGGTTGGAGATGCGTTACACGCGAAACCGAGGGTGAGAGTGAGGCCAATCCAACCCTCGTGGGGCCAGACAGGCTACTGCCCAATAGAGGCGTCTCAATAGCACAGCAAACCGAGATGAGATGGGCGGAGGGCCAGATGTCACGGACAAGACATGATGATTGGATTCTGTTTGGTGATACTCCGCCCTCGTTGATTCACATACGGGGGTCAAGGGCGAGGCGACGGGCGCAATGAGGATACGAGGCAACGGCCTCCAAGGCACCATCCGTCTCGGATTCGGCGTAGAAACAGCCTGGGTGTTGGTCTGTCCCGCCTTCTCTTCTTCTCGACGTGCACGGCTAGGCGGGAAAGTCGGTACAACGATACGGCATGACGACTTTCGTGCGACTGGTGGATATTTCAGTCTTGACCGACTGCACAATTGCTGTTTACTCCGTTCACCTCCGTCTCTCAGCTTTCGCGTTGGCGTTGGCGGCCGGGTTGGCATTGACACTGGTGTTAGTGGATGGCTGCGCCGACGGCTGTTTGGATGAAATGAGGGGGGAGCTTGGGGTAGGAAGAGGGGCATGACGCGCCGAGGTCCAGAGTGCCCCAGAAGAGGACGGATAGTGGCTCCAAGAGCTGAGATGCCAGGCCAACAAGATGAAGAGATACGAGACGATCCATCTATATCGTCTGGCGTGATAATATTTCTGGAGAACTGATCGTGGGTGCTGGGCCGATAAAATTGCGCGTCAAGAAAGCATGGACTCGCGGCCCCAGATGCTTCAGGAGGCGAGATGACAATCGGCGGCTTGTTCGCCCTGTACGGGGTTCTTCATGGATGACACCGACTCAGCTCCAGTCAGTTTCGGGCTGTGTAGCCGTGACCCATCAACCGAGGGCTGGTTTTTTTGGGGTTTTTTTTTTGGTCTTAATCCGGCCTTCGGAGCATCAAGCGACAGTTGGCCCACGACAAGAGTGCCCGTGTCCCATGCAGTAGACCACAGACCAAGGGGCAAGAGGGGCCAAGCCAAGAGATGGGGGGGGGAGATTGTGCCGACTAGATCATGTATCCATCATCCATCGCCGTCTTGTCCGATGATGCGTCATATCGCAAGATGAATGCGCAAATGGGCGAGGGTGGTGCGGATAGAGTCAAGGCATATAGGGTGAAGCTGGTGGCGATGTTTATTCGTATGCCTCGACGATGAGGCGACGTTTGGTGTGGAATTTTAGATTTTCTTACCTAGCTCACCTCAGCAGCCTTGTCATAACTTTTGTCGGCCATGTTCCGTTGGACAGGACTCGAGAGGCAATTCACCCACGAGCTTGGCATTTTGTCCACATCGTCGAGTCAGGTACTCGAGGCTCAACGATGCAGCTGGTGTGGCGGGAACAAGAAACAAGCTAAGGCGTAAGCTTGGGACGATCGGCAACTGGCTTTCTTGGCCTTCTCAGCAGGGGACTGATACGGTAGACCAACAAAGAAAGTGGAAAGGGGCCGGCATGCAGCGAGGGATATTGGGTGTGGTGTATCCTGCGAAGTTTGAGACGAACTGTGCAGGCAGGCAATCAATGATTCGGGGAGAGGGGCAGAGAGAGAGAAGGAAAAAGAGAGCGTGCAACAAGCATCAAGCGTCGAGGGGGTGTGTGGAAGCGAATGAAATGAACCGCGCTTTCCTAACGGAGACGGTACGGACGGTGGCCAATAAGGTATGTAGTACTCCGTATAGTATGTAACGATGTAAGACGGAAAGCGGCGGTGGGCAGTACCGGTAGGTAAGTGCAAGCGCGGCCGGTACGTATTTGTCGGTAGGTAGGTACGTGTCCGTACCTCGTTGAGGAAGGCATATTGAGAAGAAGGTGCCAACCGTCCGTCGACACCGTTCCGTCTGATGCCGTGCAGATGCAGACAAAATATTGGTACGGATGCACACACATATATATCCTTATCCGTTCACTGTGATTGTGTTTATGTTGGTTCCGTCGGGGACTCGGCCGTCTCTGCAGCCCGTTATCGCGATGAAAGGCTGTCGCCCCCGACCCTGCGCCGCCCCCTTGGCCTCAGCTTTGCTTATTGCACACGGTCGAGGGTTGATTGAGTCCCTGACTGCTGCGGAGCCCTGACTCCCATCCGCCTAAGAAGAATGGCCTGAAAGCCCCTGGGCATGCACTCCAAGGTTCACTCCTGTGTTAGAGAGAGGCGGACTGGATGTACATCTGCGGAGCACGACAGTGTGGAGGTACTTGGCCATTCCCGACAGTGCGCGGTCCATGGCCGTTTCCTCCCAAATGAGAACGATGCGCGTCACCACTGGCCGCCCGCACCAGGTTTGGGCTGGGACCCTGTGTCTCGTCTCTACTAAGTGAGCATCATCGCTGGCTGCAATCAATCATTCTCGGTCGTGTCGTGTAGTAGTATCGTGTAGTCGCTGTCATCCTGCCTGGCATGCTGACACTTCGCCTCCCGTCAGCGCTGATACAGATGCGACATGATGCGCAAAAAAAGAAAGGCAATCCCCGCGGCTGCGTCCAAGTCTTGGTTTTTCTTCCCAAACGGAGCACCCAGCTTCCGGTGGGAAAAGAAACACCGATTGGAGAGACTAACCCGTCTTCTAATTCCAACCTACCTACCTACCTACCTACTTGGGGGTTTCAGTTATCAGTCCGTACCCAAGGTTGGTATCGGTAAACGCCAGTGCACTTGTTTGTTTGTTTGTTCATTCATTCAAGGCAACCCAGCCTGTATGTGGACCGAATGTAGGCATGTACAGATAGGATACCTAAGTAGGTACTCCGTAGTTTGTGTGTCAATGTCGATTCCGTCTCAGATCAGCTTACCTTACCTATCTACCCGGTTAATTAACCATCCTCCCCCGCCTGGGCATGGGCTAGGCATTCAGCTGCCCGGGATGCTTAAACGCCGGGAAGTCAGCTCGACCTTTGTCAAAGGCAATCGTCCTTGGCCGCTATCTATCTAGGCACCTAATCAGGTATAGGTACTGGATGCCTCAGACCAGGCGGTGCTTATGAGGGCCGAACGCCAACAACACGCCCAGGCCTCCGGGCCATCGCTCCTCCGACACCGAAATGTCGATTCCATTCACTAGACGTAGCAGTGCCAAGAGCATAGAGTTGCAGCCACATGGCCGGCTTCGACCGTCTTGAACACAGACTATCGTCAGTCGGGCAGCCCAGGTAGTCTAATCATCACGGCCGAAGACGGCTGTGCTCTCCAAGTGCACTTCCTGTTCCGGAACACCCCGCATCTATCTTACTTGGGTACATCTGCAATCCATTCCAGTATCAACATCAGCATCAGCATCAGCATCAGCAGTCCGGGTGCCAGCCGCGCTCCCATCCTCGGTAATGCTGCATAATCCTCCGTACCTTTGGGCCCGACTTGGCTGCTCACGGGAGTTCGCCCAACGTGTCGGCATGGGTGTAGGTAGGTACTCTGTACTGTAGTACCTAGTGTACCTACCTACCTAATCTATCTGCATGCCTATACGTGGCAGGCTGGAAGGTGCGCTTTGGGCTTCCGTTGGGCCCCGAGTATGGTGTTTTGTGGTCCAGGACGCTGCTGGTCTTTGGTTGTTGCTGCTGCTGTCACTATTACATAAGTCGTTAGTCGCGACGTCAACCTAGCACTCATTCGAAAGACTGCCACCACCCGCCGTTCCGTCCTTCCCTCCGTTTTCGATTTTTTTCCGTTTTCCATCGCTACCCTCCCACTCCCCCGGTCATCACACACCCCCCTCTTTCCCACTCTGCACAGACTGGGGCTTCCCTGTCACCCCCCCCCCCCCCCCCACTCCTCCTTCTTCTCCTTCCCTCCTACTCACTTTCCGTCTCCTCCCTTCCTCCATTCCCACACGGGCCGGCACACGCACGTACATTGACACAGTTAAGTACCTTTCCGCCACGCGAGCAACCTGAACATAATCCATACGTACGGGGAAGGGGCATGCCTGCTGCCTTGTCTTGCCTTGCCTTGCCTTGCCTCGACGCGAGAGCCCACAATCTCATCCTCCATAATAACCCGGCCCTCGCCCACATCAACCCATCGTGACGGCCTCTCTCTTCTTCCTTTTGATCCTGCTACATATTCTACTTCCTCTTCGCCATCTCGCCCGTTTCGCAGTGCCCGTGTCTAGACTCCGATCTCCACCAACGCCTCGTCCACATCCAACTGTCAGCCACCCTTCGATTTTCGCGATCCGGTCATCACAATCCGCCCTTCACAATCCAGCCAACAAACACCCTCTAGCGCTGTCTCGCCTGGTCTCATCTCGCCCTGCCACCCTTTCTTCTTATCCCCAAGCTCCCAAGAACAAAGAAAATTGGGCATTTCCAGCGTTTCTCCTGGTCCCCTTCCTCGATATCCGACGCCCACCCAGACTTCTTTGTGCGCTTTCGTCGAGATTCCTGCCACACCGTCCCGTCACACCCAACACTAGAGTCTAGACTTCCTTGTCGGCTGGCCCAACTTTAAACCCCTCCGCCCAGCGTTCCCTGTCTTAGGGGCCCTAAATAACCCGTACCGCGACCGCCAGTTTCTCCAAAACACAGTTATTCGATACACAATCTAGACGAGATTGACCAGTAACTCGACAAGAACCATAAAGGAGTCATCCATTCCATCTCACCTTGCTTGCATACCTCCTCAAGTACCAAATACGCCCTTATCCGCCACCATCATCACAATCCGTCACAACATGTCACCGGCACAAGATCAATACTACGTGATTCCCAACGTCAACGCCATGGACCCTAACGCTCGGGAGTTCGACTTGGCCTCTCAGGGCTGGATTCAAGCCACCATCATCGAGGACGACGACCTCATGTTCGGCGGCAAGTCCTTGAGCACATGGTACGAGGAGGAACGGAGACGTCTGAGCAACGGGTCTTCAGATGAAGAGGAGCACCGCGGTCGCCAAAGGGTAAGCTGCGCAACGTCATGCTGCAACCTAGCCAGTCTTACTAACGCTTCCCAGGTCCGCAAGCACCACTCTTCCCATAAGCATCATCACCACCAAGCGAAGCAGCACTCTCCCAGCTCCGACAAGAAACACTGAGTGTGTTTGCGCGCGCGTGTCCTCTTTCCATCCTTCGGTATAGACCGCCACCGCGATACCCCTTCCGAGCAATCGAATTCTATACCCCTTTCACGTCAGCTTCATACTTTCCATTCCACGGACAGTCCGAACCGACTTTCGCGACTCATACTATACTCGGCCTCTTGGAATACCCGTCTTCCGCGTGGCATTGGGTACACCGGCGTTTTTCTTTTCTCCAGCGTTGCATGTTATGGGCCGGATCACTACTAGTATAACGGCAATGTCCACAGAGGACAATGCCCAGCATGGGTATAACGGAAGCCGAAGCAGGAACACGCGTTCCGCCGGCACCACCTTTCGTTTAATTGTTATTGCATCGATCGCAACGGGCCTGCGATAGGGTTACGGTTTGCATCTAGATGGCTTAGGGAGCATCATTGCCAGAACACTCTTTGGCTGTCACGTCGAGAGCTGGCTTGTCTGTTTTGTATGAGTGGATTACCGTATCTCACTCCGGGGTTGTGCAGTGGAGGCATTTCACGTCTTGAGCCCTCTTGCGGGACAGCGTGGCTACAGGTTAGCAGGGTGATGGTTGCGAGGCAACAAAGGCTATGTGCAGTGGAGCTTCATTTCGAGCTGAGTGGCGGTGAGGAGCTGCGATCTCGGCGAGAAACACGGAGTCCACGAGAATGAATACAAACATGTTAAATCATGCCACTGGTGTTTTTCGAGAGACCTTTTGCTATGTGATGCATTGCCCCGACACACACGCGTCAACGCGCCATGCTGAGCAGATAACATGTTGCTCCCGCCCTCAAACTGTTGAGGCACATGTAAGAAAATCCAACAGATCGGGTTGCGTTGAAGGATGTCTGCAGGTCCAGTCACCCTCAAAAAGAATAGTGCACTCCGCCCTGGTGCTGTCTAGGGCTGCAGCAGCACCTATTTCCCCCTTGGGGACGTCTGGAGAGCAGCGTTGCATGCGCGCGCTGCACATGCATTTGCGCTAGTGACCCCGACTCTTCTCGCGCGGGAGGACAAGCGTACTATGGTTCGGGTACGGCCGCCAGCGGGTGCCGGGGAAGGGCGTGACTTGGGGTTAGGGGCGTGGTCTTGACTCTGCCTCCACCTTTTCAATACTTTGTCCCGGCATCGGCGAAAAAGTTTGAACTCGACTAAATACCGGCCTGCATGTGTGTGTAGGTTTGGTAGTCAATGCCGAACTCCTCGGCGCTGCTCCGGAGGCGACGTTCACTTGACGACTGACGCCCAGAGTGATCATTCCAAGTTTGACAAAGACTGATGCTCAGGTGACGGATGCTTCACTGCCGATGCGGATATTCAACGGCGACTGGCTGAGAGACGGGAAGTTTATCCCCATGCGAGAATGGTACATCTTGTCATGGAATTGATGTCACTAGTACCAGTCCTCTGTCAAAAAGCCCGTTGGGGCAAAGCTTCAGCTATACCACACAAACCACTGTTGCCAGTGCATCCGTAGTTGAACCTAACCACCACTCTTAAACGCCCCAAGACCATGCGTCCATAATTCAACTGGGAGGATATGGCTGAGGCGTGGACTGGCATCAAACGGTGTCCATACACGGGCCCTGACAGTTCTCGGAGGAGGCATCGATAGCTCAGCCGACCCGCCCTGCTCCGCCCCGTGCAATGCTGACAGTTCGCCGTCTTGCCCGATTAGCGATTAGGTAGTTGAAGGTTCCTCAATCCTTCACGCGCAATCGAAGGTCATAGTGCGACTTGGCAAGTCAGCACAGCTATATGCCGATCATCGCCTCATGCAGCTATTAGGATAGTAGCAGCTCTCCGATTTCGTCATCAGTTCAAGCTACACAGCTCGTTTGGGACCAATGCCATGGCGGAGGCTGGTATAACGCTAAGTAATGTAACAGCAGAAGAGAGATAGCTTAGTCTTCATCAGCACAAGGGTAGTTAAACGACATATAAATCGCAGATTTAGTCGTAGTTAGATATCTGTGATTCTCACCCTAATCATCACTTCGTTGCTTGTATACATTATCCCCTCTTTCCATCACGGCAAACTTGACCTCACAAGCTCTCATAGTTCCGTGCTAATTCCTCTGTCAATCAACGAAATGACACTTCTCTCAAATTCTTTACGCACCAGTCTGCTACTGGCTCATGCAGTCTTGCCGGACGCCAGTCCGGGCCCTGGTCAAATCAACTGGCTTCCTTGTTCCGAGTTCAATAGCACTGAGCCGATCCAATGTGCAAACTTGACAGTCCCGCTAGACTACACCGAACTAGAGTTAAACAAGACGCTCCAGCAACAGCTTCTCCGGGTCCGCGCCCTTGGCCAACCCTCAAGGGGCAGCATCTTGTTCAACTTTGGCGGACCCTCGGTAAGATGTCATCTCTGAGACGGGAGTGGCTTTATCCATGGCGAGATGATTGATAAAGTCTGACACTCACGTCCTGGATATAGTGGTACTGGAAACACGCTGCCCTTCTCATGCTTCGAAGATGAGCAGGAAAAGCTCTCCTTTTTCATGAAGAGCCCCAAAGTGTGGAGCACTTTGGGCGCCTCCAATTTCCGGGCAAAGTCGTCCGACAACACCCTCGCCAGGTTATGGGCTACAGCCAAGCTCTTTGCGGACAAGTGCTACAAGCGCAACGAAGAGATTGGCGGGCTTGTCGGCAGCGCTTTCGAGGGACATGATGAAGATCGTTGATGCTCTTGGAGAAGATGGTCTGTTGAGGTACTGGGATAAGTGAAATGCTTCATCCGACCGCGTGCTTCATCACTGGAATCCAACGCTGACTTGATTTTACAGGCGGTTTGTATGGAACCCTTTTGGGGCAAACGGCCGCGGCAATGTTTCCCGGAAGAATCGACAGAATGGTGCTCGACGGGAACCTCAACCCTCACGAATACTACCGAGGCTAGTGAAGTCCTGTCTTCCACCCCTATAAGTCCTCCTTTGAGTCTTACGAAAAGCTTACACTGTGGATCTTGAATAGCGACTACGAGCAGTGGACCGACTCGGACAAGACCTTCAGCGCCGTATTTCAATCCTGCGTCGCGAAGCCATCCGTTTACCCGCTTGCCCAGCGCTATCCGAATCAGACAGCAGCCCAGCTTGAGGACACAATCTAGACCCTCATTGACGATCTTAATGACCGCCCCATCCCCTTCAACGGCACTCTTATCGGCTACGGCTACGTCAAAACTGGCGTCATGGCGGCCCTCTATAGCCCAAATCTCTGGTCCCTCCTGGATATTGGCTTCGATGCCCTCATATCCCGGGACCTGAACAGTTCACGCAAAATTGGAACAAGCTGGCCGCGACTTACGCCTCCATCGGCGCTACTCCCGACGCGCAGATGAGCATCCGGTGCGGCGACAAGATCGTTCGCATGGAGACGCTGGACGCGTTCCTGCCCATTGTAGAGCGGCAGTTCAGAACCAGTAGGGTCTTTGGCGACATACAGACGGCGACAGATATGGTGTGCGCGCAGTGGCGGTTCCCCGCCAAGGGGCAGTACACTGGCGACTTCCGCTCCAAGACAAGGCATCCCATCCTGTTCATCGAAAACACAGCGTTCACGCCGCTGGCCTCGGCGCAGAACGCCAGCGCCGGGTTCGAGGGTAGCATTGTCCTCCAGACGAACGGCTATGGTGTGGGTTCCTCCGGCCCGTCTGTCCAAGATTGAGTACACGGGTAGCGAACTGACGAGAAATAGCATGCTTCGACCGGGATGTCAGCTTGTGCGAACTTGGCAGTTGAGGCCTACTATGTCAACGGGACGCTTCCCAAGGCTGGGAGTTTGTGCGAGCTGGACCGGCCGATTTTGCTTGGGTCTGTTTCTGGAATGTGAAACGCAGAGACGGGTTGTTGTCTAGGTGGGCGGCCATCCACGTTGTGCGATACTGGTTGGCGATTGATGCGCACGTACATTAAGATCTCTCTCACTTATATATTGACTATGTCACGAATAGATTGGGATTCATTTGTCCGAGATAATAGAACTGACTTGGGCTAGATTCAACATTGGCTCAAAAGATGTAGCCGTTGGGCCCTGCGCTGCAAAACTCCTACATGCAAAAGACATCACTAAGCAGTCGTGATAAGAGAAATATTAAGGCTCTGATATAATAGGTGACTTTTCTATTCTAAATGCTCAGAATATGGCTTCAGTATAAACAGGAATCTTAACGCCTTTAAATCCCACTTGCACTACAGTTACTATGCGTCAAGCACCTGGAATATCATGATCTGTATCGAAAAATTCCGTAGTAAGCGTGGTCAAATTATTGTCCAATAAAACAATAATCCGTGCATCTAGCATAGGATGGAAAATAACAAAAAGTTTAGTTATCGCCCTGACCATATTCTTATATTGGCAGCCTCGCAAGCCATTTAGGGCTATTAAACTAGTACACTATTCTAATGCTTATATGATGAACATACGGACTCTATCACTGCTGTTCACCTAAGATTTTGAAAGCCATCAAAAGCTGCGAACATTTGGCATACATTTTCGGATGCACCTAGCATAGATATGTTACAAGTTCTCTCTCGGCATTGATCATCATATTATCCTAGTCTCTCAGTGTATGAGTTACGCCTAATGTTGTTTTGGAAAGTCATAATTTCGACTTTGCCTTTGGCTTTTGGCTCACAGGATCGAGAAGCCCCCGGTGATTCGTCAGGTATGGCCTTCGGAGTACGTCTGACGATGTTGGGGAACGCCCTCTTCCAGAGTTGTCGCGTGCTTGGTAGGCAGGCCACAACCACACCTGTGCAGAGTTCAATATGGGACCACAATGCGGTCTCAATAGCATCGACTAACGAGATGGTTAGAAGTACCGTCTAAAAGTTTGTGGAGTGTTGATGGAAACCAACCAGGAAAATTGAGAGATGTTGCAAAGTCCAGTACCGCTTTGATCCGGTATGCACTGACTGCCGTAAGACTGCAAATAGTCAATAAAGATCTCTTGATGACCAGTGAAAAAAGTCCGCACTATACCCACAATACACCGAGACTGAACATGAACATCACGCCTAGCTTTTTCCTGCGCTGCATACGCAGCCCATAAAGTTGTGTCAAAGGTAACGCGAGCATCCACAAATCCAAAGCAACGTTGATAGCGCCGTGAGAGATGATGAACTTATTTCTATCGAAGCATTTGCCTGGAATCTCTTTGGTCCAGCCTACCCAAGCAAAATTGAAGGGTTGGCAAAGAGCAAGTTGACCGGCTGTGAATGAAATCAACAAAAGCAAGTTGACCACCTGCGTGGCCCACAGCACTTTTCGAAATTTCCCATCAGGGAAAATCCGGAAGTACAAGAAAATGATGGAAATCTTGATAAGAGCGAGGCCGAAGAAATATAGCAATCCGAAGATATACACAATCTGGCTAGTGTTAGCGTATAGAAAGCCTTGCGGGATTTACATTATTACCAGGAGTAGGTGTGTAATCTGATCCGGGGCAAGCGTCCAAATGTCTCTGCCTGCGCCTGCTCTTAGATCTGCAAAAGAATCAGAATGAGACAGAACCGAAGTACGCCAACAAGGGGAAATACTAAAAACAGATGCTGGCAGGAAAGCTGCGAGGATAAGCTGGTAAAGAATTAGTGGATAATTCACTAACGACCGAAGCAGGTGTAGTTGAATACATACATAGGCGGCGACAATGCTTGAATCGTCCCAGCCCCAGGGCGAGATACCTAACCACTTGTTTGCTAACCGCCCCATCATTAAAAACGTTGGGAGAGCAAAAAGAACCCCAGGGAACCACCGATGTACATGGCTCAGCTCGGTTATGGGCACGTGGCAGGCTGTCGATGATTGATTTCGAGCAACTGAATTCTGGATAAGCCTTCCCATCTCGTTGAACCGAACGAAGATGCAGTAATATTTACCTAGCGCTTCCTTTACCGTGCAGTTTTGTAGAATACATGCCTGTACTTTGGTTGCAAAAGCAGTGTCATGACATAGGCAGCCTTGGTCTGTAACAGAACAGTTGGAATAAGCGATTTCGTGAGAGGCACAACTGCTCTATAGAAAGCATTAACACAGTTTTGTTCTGCCAAAGGATTAGAACTTCCTTACCGCACAGCTTGGGATTTCCGGTTGTGGTAACTCTGCAGCGGCGACCATATAGACCCGAAAGAAGAATACGGATAATGTTACAAATCGAACAGTCGCCATGGTAGAAGAAGTGACTAGCGATAGCCTGCTCGTGCCCAAAGATTTATTGTTTATACGAAGGATGCCGGAGCCAGACCACTTTTGTTAGACACCCTGCAAAGTGGGTGAGTGGCAGATTCGGAGTCCTGGAATAATATAAATACACCCCATGGGCACGTTTGATTTTCCTACAGAGCAGCTATCAAAGGGTCTATATAGGTCCAGCTAACGCCACCTAATCAGCGCCATTCATTGACATATGGTTTCACCGCAAGCGGTGCGTTCGTTGGTCGTTTGCGGACATGGGCGTGTGCGTGGCACTCGGCCCTATGAGGCCGTGATGTACGAAGTGGGTTGTAAGAAAGCAATATCGGGCCTTTAAGTTCTGCGTCGAGCCACTTTAGTCCTTCAGACCCCATGAGAACTGTTGAATATTAAAAGCACGAAAGAGCTAAGGTATGGTAGATATTCTGTCCAAAGAAATGGCTGAATTATAAAGTGCATCACTGCTCCTCAAACAAATCAAAGCCCATCACATTGAAATCAGTAAGCTATGCAAGATCCTGTCAAGGTGTCTACTGGCTGATACTTCACCTTTTAATTTACCATCTACTCTATTAAACCGCAGTTGGGGTGACTGTTCCAGGTTGAAATAATACTAACAGAATGATGGGTAGTAAACAAAGAAAATCAGTACGATGGAAGGGGGTGAGGGGGAAGAAGAAACCAGGAAGTGAAGCCAACAGCCATAGGCAAGCCATGCCCGCTTTGGGTTTAAAGGAGGCTCAATAATGGATAGGGTTAGAATAGCACACGAAAGAAACTGAATACGGGGGCGTTGTTACGTCTATTTATCACGATGTATATCAGGCGTTGGCTGTGGCCACAATAACGGCGCAGCTTTTGCAACAGCCCATTGTGACTGCTTATATACATTCCTGGCGACCTGGTCGTAGGCGTCGTCAAATGTCCTTCCTTCTCATATTAGTCATGATGTAGGCGTGAACTTTTTTTTTTTTTTTAAATGTTAACTGGTATTATTTAGAAATCATTGGCGTAAAGGATGCAAACTAGTGGCTATAACCATGTCCATTTCCACTGCTCTAGCACTTGTATAGAGCTGTGTGCTCTATACTTTTGACATTTCCACACCACTGGATGAGTGCATTCCAGGCAAGGTCGACTACTCCGAGTCAGGCCAAGAGTCCGTCTCACTGTTGGAGGAGTCGGCACAGCCACTGCAATACCCTCTTTTTGTTGAGGGTAATCTCACAGAGTGAGTTCCCGAGCACGCTCGGCCGGCGCGCTTGGCCTCGCATTTCTGTCTCCTGCCCTTACGGTTCTTGTAATTGCGGTTGCACTTGAGGCACCGTAAGGGGGTGTATGGTGTGGTACACATATTGGCGGATGTAGCTCCTTGTCGTGATGGTAGCTGGAGTAATGTTCAATGCTGTTTCTTATGCGTGTGTAGTGCGGGTTTTCGTCAGCCTTGGATATTCTGATTGTGTTGTAAGACGTTTTGTTGTGTGCAGATGTTTGAGTTTGAAGAGTGGTGCTCCTACAGCGACGTGTTTCGAGGTTATATACATTTCTATGGTGAGGTGTGAATAACACAACTGGAATTGGGGGGTCATCACCTGGTTGAGAGAAGCACAGTGAATTGGGTACGCTTCTGCTACTGCAACTCTTCACTGCTTGCTTCCTAAACCAATTCACCTCCGTCGTGTTCATTCAGTACGTGATGACAAGAGTTCCCTAACCTCCTTCGTCTCCAAGCCCGAGCATTCAATGAGTTCCTTCGGCCTAATTGAATGACTTCTTCCTTCACGATGACGCTGATTTGACTGCTTTCTCGCATATTGTGCTGTCCCTATGGCTCAAGTGGAAGACCGCAGTGTCCCTGAAATGGGTATAACATAAATCATGACCTTGATACCTAGGGTTCAACCGCATTTGGTTCATAGAGTGTGTGGCACCCACGAAATTGGGCTGTGCCTGGAACACAACTCAAGGGGAAAAGGCACCATACCTTCTACCTTAACTCAAGTCCAGCTTCATCGACTAAACCAGCCGGAGTTTTCATCGATCAAATATCACCTGTGATGCAAGGTTGGCACTCCAATTGTATTTTGACAACTGTGAACTAAGTACTATCACGACATTAGCTATCAACGATAGTTTGGTCTAGAAGATGAAAATTTCCCAATTACATACCGCTTTTTAGGGATAGTATCCTCTTCCAGTTGATACCCCTACACAGTGAAAGGCTAGAGCTATCAACACTATCGACCTTGCTTTTGGTGGCCATAGTATTGATTTAGCAGAAATGGTAGGGTCTGAGAAATGAATATGATGACCATTCGTTCATGGCTCTATCCCGTGTCATACAGGTACAGATACTGTGGCTTGGGTCTCGCCGATAACAGTGATTGGTAATTATCGGTCAGATGAGGATCGACTGGGGAGATGCAAGACCTCCGGAGGCGTTAGCTGTGCAAGCCCGGGTTCATGGTGTTACAAGGTTATCAAATACAAGAAAACTTGGACAAATGTTGTACAAGAACCCGTAGCCTAGTTAATTTATGAGTCTATCATTTGAGCTTGGCAATATGAGCATGCGAGATTGATCGTTTCAACCCAGGCGAGACGAGTTGAGCCGGGCACACCGCTTCAAAACATCTGGCCCAAATTAACAGGGATAGTCAAAACACCCCAAACATTGATACGAGCCATTTCAACCTTATTCCTTCAAAAGTCCTATTTTCAGCCAAGCCAGAGTCGTCCGTGGGAACCGGACACGAATCATAAGCAGAGTGATGCGGAGGTGCAATAATGTCTAGTCTGAATACTCATTCGCCTCCAAGCATCCATTGGACAGGAGTCTTGAAAGCTCGCGCAATTCCGCTGCAGAATGGGCCTGGCTAGTGTATTGGTTATTTGAAACGTTTGTGAGGAAATCCGGACCCGTACGATTCGATTGCGACTTTGCCGAGGGCAAAGCAACATGATCCACTTTCACACATTTCTAATTCTGGGCCGTGATCCTTGAAATGACAGATGGAGTTGATGACGAGTGGTGTTTCCCGACGCAACTTCATATTGTGTTTGAGTATCGGGCGTGATACTCGTACTGTGTTTTCCCGACTGTGTCTTGGACTACTATTGTTCCTGTGCGATTTCGTAGAGGGGAGATACGTACCTCAATGTTTCCTAACACAACATAACTACACACGCTTTTTCGGTGACCGAGATCGACTCCATATGCAGTCATGATGACAGTAAAGTATGGCTTCGTGAATCCATTTGCCGGACTAGATGGTGACACGAACGAAACAGAGAGAAAAACGTCTAGAGGCATTAAGCACGGGTAGGGTAATAGCAATCAATAGTCTGCAACTACGCTGGCTCGATTCAAGAGGGGCGCGATGCTCTAGTGCTACGCCGCAGATGTGTGTGGACCTCAGTATCAGCAACTGCCTAGTTGTCAACTATAACGTTGATTATTCGGGTTCCAACCTCACCTGCATTGGCACGCTGTTTTCGATAGTTGCGACGATCCAAGTTCAGCGCACGCTCCGGCCACATACTAAGTGGGGCACAGGTAGAGCCCGACCAAAGTTACTGCCTCATACAGTAAACATGCAAATCCCTATCACATTACGACACTGGTCAATGGGCACAAGGGATTGGACAAGGACCGCATATCGTGGATCAATTCCAGCAGGTGGCTCAGAGACGCGCAAACAGTTGCAATGGATGGCGCAATAACCTGGGCACTTGGCGACGATAATCATGTGTGGCTTCGCGAAGTCAGCAGGGAAGTAGGAAAGCAGGCCAAGGGCTGCCAAGCATGAGTTTATGGCTGCGGGCATGTGAAGAGGGAGCAAAACCAGATGTGAAATAAGAATAGACAACAATGTGTCCGTATGACGCATGGATTGGCCACCTGATTGATAACAGCAATCAGCTTCGTACTCCCGATAAGGCCATCATGAAGTCGATCTTACTTGGACGTTGGCACAAGCTTTGACCGGAGGGCTTCGGAGGGTTTGAATGTCGTCAGGTCGTGAGCTTTTTGACTTCGTTAGCAGGATCGTCCGGCCATACTTTGGACGGCGTCCGAAATGTCCAGCTGATGAGGTATCCATGGCGCCATGCAGCAGGCCATAATCACTGTATCGTAAGGTAGCTCATATATCTAATTCCGGTAGCGTAAGAGGACCTGTGTAGTGCAAAGCTTAGAATGGTCTCATTAACGACTAGTGTTGCCGGTTTCCGTGGCAGACTCATCATCAATCTCCCCCCCTTTCACCCCCACAAGCTCGGCCAACCTGCGTAGGTACTCCACCGAAAGTCGGGCGCAGATCATAAAATTCGGTGCGGAATCGGCCCCTGCAACCGCAGCCTTGTAGCGGCCCCTATTTACGGGAATAGACGGGAGTCTTCGAGGCGAGGCCCGCCTCCCGGTAAATGAGGACCGCGGTGGGTGGCCTGTCTGTGCATTGAGTGTTCTAAGCCTCGAAGAAGGTTGCTCAAGGTTGAAGCTTCAGGCGTTAGGAGGGGGTGGGCGCCCCCATCCAGGACTCATCTGACATGTCTCTCACACCCAAACTCCCCGCGCCCTACCCGCACCGTCACCGTCATTTGATCCAATCGTGCGAGTACCAGGGGTTGGGCGAATGTCTCAAAGTCTGAGACAGAAAGACTGCCTTAACGACCGGTGAACCCCCTTCACCGCAGGTCATAACCATCGTACCATTGCCCTGGGCGAATCCAGGCCCGTAAATGGCCACATATATGGCCCTTATCGCTTCACATCAGCGTGGTATTGCATCAACACATCACGCACTCACTCGATGGTCGCTGGGGAGAAACAAGCCGCCCCCTCATCGCTCGCCGTTGTTGACAAACCCACAACGCAAACAGTCCAAGGTTTCAACGGTACCGAACCCAGGCTTTCATGCGGCGGTAACGACAGTACCATACCGTGCCAATCATGAACGTTGTCGGTACCCCTTTACTCACCCGGCAGATGACATCCGTCAGTCTGCGCTGTTACTGCGGCCCTGCATCGCCGGACGATGACCAACGCAGCCACGCTTGTCCACGTCGGCTGGCCGTTTTCGTCCACTTACGAACTGCGAAGCTGACACCGCCATAACATCATGACAAGACTGGGGAAGCGAGGAGCAGCAGCTGTGGTCTACCTCTCTTGCAGTGCCCCCTCCCCTCCTCTTCTCACGTACATCCCGTGGTCAATCTATCGACAGAGTCTAGATGCCAAATGCAAGGGGGGCATCAGGGACCTCATTCGCATGACAACAAAAGGCTGTAATGGAAGTCTCGGTCGGGCGAGCGTGCACAACACACACGCACACGCGTCGGCACACACGTAGGATGTAAGATGTACACCGACTAAACCGAGATGGTGTTCGTACGGTGCCAACAAACGCGAAACCCGATTTTAGTATGTTCTTTGAGGAAATTTGTTGACTTGCCATGCTCGGAAAATTTCCACATACCCCCCCCTCCCCCCCTTCCTCTTGTTTACCTACTATGTAGTTGATTTCAGGGACCAAACCGACCGACGTCACAAACGAAAACTCGTGCGTCGTACCTAGCTCCAGTTATTTTCCGTCGCGGAGGGGAGCCGGGTACTGTTCGCGTTACGTGGTTCGGCCCTTTTCTTCCCTTTCTTCATAATGTTCCCGTCGATTTCCCCTGGAAAAAGCCAAATGGTTCGTCCAAGGTTCCAGGACAAGCAAGGGAGAGAGGCAGTTTTGAGGGAAAGGGAAAAAATTGCTTGGATGGACCCATTCAATGCCCAGTCCCAGTTCCGGACGCTGCCCGGGCCAGACGGAGCTCTCAGCGCAGCCCTCCCGGCCCCATCCTCATTACTCGTTCCAGGTTGGATTACATCAAAATGTACAGGTACTACTGCTACTCCTATTCACGCATGTTAGTCTCAAACAGCATGCGGCTACGGGCAAATGGCCTCCTGTACACGACCCTGAAGCAGTCCCAGGAGGGGTGCCAGGTGCCACACACACAAACACACGTCCCATCCATGCACATCCATGCTATCCCATTTGCTATGCCAAATGGACTGGAAAAAAGTCTCTGACTGGCTTGACTGGGCTGGCAGAGCGCCCCAGGCATTGGTATGAGTAAGGATCGGCCTGGTTCCGTTGGGCGCCGCCGCGGGTCTGATCGCCGTCGCCTTTCAGATTTTTAGGGCGCCTCGTCTCGAACGATCTGAGCCTTGGATTCGTGATCGCTACATAGGGCTCCGGCACCCGTGGCTTATATAGTGGGCTTATGATCCCCCCTGGAAACTTGTTCGCTTCGTCATATTTCACGGATCCCTACTTCCTGGCACGGCACTTGGCTATTTCATCTGAACGGTTGCCATCGCCCTCTCATCCGTTTACATCGGGCACCCATCGACGCCTCACGTCAACAATAAGCACAGACACGTACTTACACGCACCTTCACTTACGCATACAAATACCGATACACACCAGCACTTACTTCACTTCACACACACACACCCTCAGACACGCTGCCTCTACTAGCTACTGCGTTCATCCCATCACACAAAACTTTGCCCAACATGTTCGGCCGACAACAACGGACCCAGTTTTCCAAGCGAAGCAGCTCTGGCTGCTCGTGGCCCGAGAGCGACAGCGACGACGACATCGTCATCCGCCCCTGCGCCTCCGACGAAAAGGCCGACGCCTCAGTTACCATGACCGAGTATGTCCCGTCGTCGACCGCCGTGGGGATGGAGCAGCCCACCAGCTCCCGGCCGTCCCTCACCGGCCGCCGCTCCTCTGCAGAGGACGCCAAGCTCGAAGCCCTCTGGGAATGCATGCTGGAACTGCAACAAAAATACCACTGCTACAACTCGACGCGCATGGAGATTGCTGCCGACAGCGAGGATGCTATGGGCATGATGCGTAAGTAGCTTCACCATCCGTCGCCTGAGACTTCGCACATGAACTGACATAACAACAGCCACCAAGTACTGCATGGACATGCTCAACGACTCCATCGAGTCTCTCCCCGAGGAGGGCTGGAAGAAGCTCAGCAAGTTCCTCGTTACAGACTTTGACACCTGTCAGAAGTCGCAAAAGTGGAAGTTCTGGAAGCACGGCTAGGGTCGTGGCGTTGGCGATTTGTTCTTTGTCATTTCCAGCGATGCGAAGGGCCCCCATGGCTCTGGTTAGAATGATACCCCTTTTCGTGCGGAACAACAAAAGTTTTTGGTTCTTTTGATTTGGCGTTGGCGTCCCGCCGTTGATTGATTAGCGGCCACGCGGGATTGACGGAGTACACTCTCATTATCTCAATAGCATACTTATTAATTTCGCACAATGGTCAACATTAATCTTCAAGAAAAAAAAACATCATCATATCGCAAGTAGTGCTCACCTACGATCATGCGGTGAGCCCCTGAGGCACGACGCTGTCAGACCAGACGAGCCCATTTCACTCGATGGCCAAGTTGGCTCGGTGCGGGGTGCTGGTGATCTCGGCATCAGGCGTAAATCCCCGGCTCCGATCCCGGATATTGAACGGGGATCGTCATGGGGTGCTTACGACTGTGACACGACGTGCATGTGGCGATACATATTGGGATCGCCGCCGGGAAGACACGCCCGTGAGTCAGAAGTGTGTGACACGCCGGCGCGATGTGACTTGGGGTACATGAAGTACCGAACCTGGATGGCTAGGTTCATCACGCGACTAACAGCGAACCTTATCGGTTATCTCGGTGGCATCTAGATGATATGATTTGGCTGTTTTAGATTTGGGCAGAACCCGGTAGAAGACTAACTATCACGAAGGTATCATGAGATGGTGCTATGGAAACAGCAGTCCGCAACCAGGCAACACGAACGGCAAGGTCGGTTACACAGCTGCTGCGACCTCGACGGGGCCGTCAGGAAGCCGGCTTGCAGCGATATTACACTGCCGGAACAACCGGACCTCGCTTTCCGCAAACGCACCAACGACAGAATGGATTACCCCGCGGTTGTGAAAGATAACAAAGTCGCCCTCCTCCCAGTCATGCGGGTACACGTATTTGGGCGAGATCCCCGGGCGCTGCAGCCGGTGCACAGTCTCCCGAACCTGGGCCAGATCCTCCATTATGGTCCCGTCGGCCAAGTGCAGCCTCCGCACGGCCGAGGGGTGGACCTGCAACGCCAGCCGGCCCGTGACGGGGTTCCGCCAGCACATGGGCAAGACCTGGATCTTTTCCTCCTCAATAGGCGGCAGATCGGTGAGCGGGACCTCCTTGCCCTCTGACACCAGCCCGAGGCCGTCGGAGCGGGACTTTGCGCTGCTCATCCAGACGTAGGGATGCGGGGCGTACTCGACCTTTGTCGTGCGGACAAAGTCCTGGTCCTCGGGGGAGAGCTGGTCGTACATGGCATAACCGGAGACGAAGGCGGTGGTGCCCAGCGGCACGCTCATCTCCTCGCCCGTGCCGTCGTCGTAGCGGAGCGTCTGTTTGCGACCACCGGGGACGCGAACGGCGAGGAGAGTAGTGGCGACGGGCGGCGCGAGACCGTAGAGCGCGGCGTCAATGTGCCAGCGATAGAAGCGGGTGAAGTCCAAGTCGTCCTCGGCCGGGATTGTGGTGGCATGGAACGTCCGGTGGTGAGGGTGCCTGAGTTGTATGTTCTTCAGGCCCTCGTATTCCTCAACGAAGCCGTTGCCAATGACTTGTACCTGCGGCTGATGGGGAATAGTCTTCAGGTCAGGATGCAGAATGGAACGCTTCGCGTCAAGGGTCTTGCCGTGCCCGTACGAGGCACCGGCCTCGGGGTCGAATCTTTGCGTGATCTCAAACTGGGCTTTGGGGGAGGCATGACCTTGGTTCTTGATGACGACGACTTGGTGCCTGAAGAGGGAATCACGGATCACGTCGAAATCGGCGTCTGCAAACCGTCAGCTACTGGCTGGACATGTGAGTCTTGAGACTGAAGCTTACCAAAGGAGGTTACCGATTCTACGGGTAGTCTCCCACTAATTGTGCAAAATCATTGCTTTCATCATGTTCTCCGTTTTCATGTAGTCTTACCGGTGAGTTTCTCAATGTCAACATTTGTGACAACAGCCCCGAAGTCGATAGCCGAGTCCTTAGGTGGGACAATGGGCTGGACGGTTGCCCGAGAAGGGGTCTGATGGATGGCCATGTTGTGGGCGTATTGTTGAGAGAAGGCGTTCAAGTTGTCTCAAAGGAGATTCTCGTGGCGAGGTTTCAAGTATAGCCGACTTGCAACTAATTTCTAGTGCAAAGATGAGAAGATGAAACTTTGGGCTTCCTTTATATATAAATGTTGTAAGATAAGAGTGGTGGCCATTGTGGACGGCCGGAAGCCGCCGATAATAACCTGCGCCCGGCTCCTAGAATTGCCCCGCTCTCAGACCCGGTCATTATAGAGGGCTATGATAAGGTATTGAAAGTGAAATGATGACACGTGCATATGGCTCACACAAACTATGAAGAATGGGCGCGATAAGAGATGAAAATTTCGCTGACGGCTATCTATGAGCGGCCAGGCAATGGCCCCAGCTTTCGTCTTTCCGTTCTAGTTGCTGAAACGGGTTATTTCGGCCTTACCGTTGTAAGACCGAACCGCGATTTGATTCTCGCCACCCATCTTACCAGTGTCCGCCTCGCCCTTGGCCTGTCACGGGCCGTTGTTCAGAAGCACTAGCATTTACTCCTGAAGTGGCGTGTGTTCTCAATGTAGGCAATATAGCGGGGGTAATCGTATATACGACCGGATCGTCTTCCCGAATGGGCCGCTCCGGAACGACTCGGTCGCCGCTGTTAAGCCGGCCCGTCCACATCGCGGCTCCGAGGGTGTGGGAAGTCTTAGGCACCATTGCTCTGTGCTGCCGTGGTAATAGCATACTGCAACTGTGCTCGCAGCTTCATGTTGGGCTGGGTCAGTGCGGTAGACTCGCTCATTTGGGTTCATCGGTGCCAGCAACGAGCAGCCAGTATTGGACCTGTGGCGACTTGGCATCCTCAGATTGATTTGTGCCATGGATCTCGTACCGAGAAGAACTGTGTCCTTCAGTGTTTCTTGACCTTGTCCATCCACTCCTTGGAAGCTTTGGTACCGTCGTGTGCCTTGCGAAAGAGAGCGCGTTCCCACTCGTCCAGGCCACGGAGAAAATCCTCGTTGGAAGCGCCGATGCCGTCATCGGCGCCTTTCCTTGCATGCAACGCGATTTCTGTTGCTCGCATCACAAAGGTCTTTCGCATCACGTCGCTGAGCTCTCGCTCGTCGAACAGATCCAAGATGCGCGTGCCGAGGCCGTAGAAGTGGGCGCTCTGGTCCCTGACCGGAACAGCTCGCGCATCGGCTTTCAGGGCCTGGACAACCTGATATGATAGCGCGGCAGGCAAGTTCAGCGTTACCGGTGCTTTCGACTCTTCGGCGGTACCCGTATTGGCGAGAGCGAGCATCTCAGCGAGCCAGAGCGGCAGTGCAATCTGCGTTCCTGCCTTAAGAGCATGGGAGGGGTTGTTGTCGAGGTATCCGAGGTCGGCGACATCGAGTTCGAATTTGCAGGGAACTTTCTGGGAATTGTCAGCCTCGGCTGCTCATGGACCATCGTTTGGAGGAAGTGCTGCTGATGCGTGCTGATGTTTGGTCTGGGGAGTTTGCGTCGTACCTCTGCGTCAGTCAGGATAGCGTCGATGTCGTAATAAGACATGGCAACTTTTAGGTAGGCTGTCGCCTTGTTCTGTTTGCTGGGTCGATAGTGTTGGCAGAAACAAAGGCGGCGTGGTGATCTTCCGGGCGGGGAAGCTTGACGCGTCTGGCTATGAATGCACACGCGATTCCCAAAATCCAGAGTGTCACCCCGCCATGCTGGGAGTATCGCATCATACATACACACAAGCCACATGTGGCTGAAGGTTTGTGGCAGTGTAGTGCGCATGGGGCGGATTTCTCAAGAATATTCGAGGGCGCTGCGCGGAATCTAGAGGTAACAGCTCCCCACTTTTTGTGGATGACGACATTCTTCTCTCATTCGCAGAAAAGCAAAGAAGGCGCTGAAGAGGCTCTTTCCTGGAGATCCGTGCTCCCTCACGTAATAGCCGAGCGAGCAAGTGAGCAAAGCGCACCTCTCGCAATTGACATCATCCTGATTTGCACTACCCGCCATTAGTCAACTTCCATTGATATCAAGGTACTTCTACTGCTGCATTCCCGCACCTGCTAATCAATTGTTTCTGTTCTAATTGACTTCATTGATACTTACATACAAGACATAGGAACACGAAAATGTCGTCCGCTCTCCTCCGAACCGCCCCTGCCCTCCGCGCAGCTCTCCGAGCTGGTGCCGCGAAGCCTGCTGCCGCTACCATGGCCAGCACCAGCTTTGTTCGCGGCAAGGCCACTTTGCCCGATATGCCTTGTGAGTAGCACCGTTGATTAGCAACCTCTGGATGCGGAACAGTCGCGCTAATATGGTCCCCTCGCTCAGACGATTACGGCGCGCTCGAGCCCTACATCTCGGCCCAGATCATGGAGCTTCACCACTCCAAGCACCACCAGACCTACGTCAACGGCCTCAACACTGCCCTCGAGACCGTCGAGGACGCCAAGGCCAAGGGCGACTTCTCCAAGGCTGCCGCCCAGGCACCTCTCATCAACTTCCATGGTGGCGGTCACGTCAATCACTCTCTCTTCTGGGAGAACCTGGCCCCCGCCAGCAGAGATGGCGGCGGTGAGCCCGACGGCAACCTGGCTGTACGTTCACCTATCCCTCGCAAAATTAGACAATGCACATCTGACGTCCTCAATAGCAAGCCATCAAGAAGGACTTTGGCTCCTTTGACACCCTGCGCAAGCAGATCAACACCTCCCTGGCCGGCATCCAGGGTAGTGGCTGGGCCTGGCTCGTCAAGAACAAGACCAGCGGTACCCTCGGCGTTGTCACCCGCGCGAACCAGGACCCTGTCACCGGCAACCTCGAGCCTCTGCTGGGCATCGACGCTTGGGAGCACGCCTACTACCTGCAGTACCAGAACCGCAAGGCCGAGTACTTCGACGCGATTTGGAACGTTGTCAACTGGAAGACTGTTGCCAAGCGCTTTGAAAAATAGGCAACGATTAAGAATGTACGATAGCCTTGTAAACGCCCACATATGATGGTGACTTGATTTAACAGCGAAACGAATCGTAAAGAATCACTCAAAACTCCACGTTACAAATACAAATAAATAATCTTGACTATCTCACGGTATCGGCAAGAATCCCATATCCGAACATTTGCTGCCATTGAAATGGACGTGCTTCAGCTGTCGCTTCACCTGGGAGAAGCAACGGCTTAGATCGTGCGATGCCTCGAGAGGAACCTGCGGGACCTTGGCCGAGCTGGCCGTCACACAAGCGAGGTGTGTCGGGTTATCGGCCCTTTCCAGCCCGTCGTGTCGTCCTCGTACACGTACGATATTTTGCCTGTCTTGGAGTCTTGGTACAAAATCCATGTGTTCAATGCACCCGTTCCCCCACTTCCCGAATCGAGTCGTGCAACGGCAAATGCGGCCATGGTGAAGTTTGAATCCACAGTTGCCGGCAACTGGCCCGAAGATGTGACCTTTTGGCCACCGGAGGAGCGGTCACAGTTATGCAACCTTCCGTCGGTGTCCCGATAAACGATTCTTGCGCTCGATGATGCCGTCCCCTCGCCAGCGGAGTGAATTACCTCCCCGGGCAGAATCACGAGCGCCGAACCGGGGGAGGCTATAATACCGACTGCTGTTGGCTCTTAGAATTTCGGCGCTTTGTAGTCGTAGAACACCTCCATGACGTCTCCGTTACTGGCTTGGAGAAGGGTAAACGGCCAATATGCCGCCATCTGTGTGCCGGCATTGCTTAGTGTATACCTCCCCTCGTTGACGCTATCAGGGAGGCCTCCTCTCGAGAAGCTTTCACGCCAGTTCACGCCGAGGATATTATCAGGCGAGCCAATGAAAAAGACTTCAGTTTGCGGTATTTCCGGCAGTGCCTTTTATGCAGCCAAATCTTTAGCGAACTATTCTCCGTTGGGAAGGGGGGCGCAAATTATAGCATACGCACCTCGGTTGGCTTCGTCCATAGCTGGCTCGCGCCAAAAGGAGAGTTGGGCTTGGGTGCCACGCCAGCTTCCATGGGCGCAGTCCAGTTCTGAAATAGCGGCATATACTGAGACCGACGCATTGAGGCGTCGGGGCCTTGGAAAAAGACCTGCAGAGTAATGTCGGCGCCGAATCGCCATCCGACGGCAGCCAGCGCGGAGTTCTGCATGATCTTAGTCGCGCTTGTCGATGGGGGATCGCCCACGGCCCCAGGCAGATTCTCGGTTAGCTGCTGGCTTTGGTTTGCTATAACTTTCCACTCAGCTATGCCGCCGACAACTCCTCCAAGAACCAAGACGACCAGACCGCCGATACCGAAGAGCAGCCAAGGAAAGCGTCTGCCTCGGCCAGGTTGTTGTGCGTTATGGACGCCGTCGTGTTCTCCATAGCCGTCGCGGCGACCTTCGTAAGCTCCGTTGACACCAGCAGTGTTCGGTGCCTTGTTGTTCCCCACGAAAGCACCACTCGGTTCGGAGATGGCCGCGTAGCTGTGTCCGGAGCCGTCATGGAACGGCGCGGTCCAGTGACCCGTTCGGCTGTCGACAACAACGGGGTCCGTGTCGTAAGTATTCCTCACTTCTAGGCCTGGCTGCGAAGCCCGTGCTGATGGGTCCATTGTACAAGACCAGGTTAGCCTTGAGTGTCGGAGACCTATGGCTCAAGGCGCGATATAGTCAAACAACGGCAACCGTGAGGTCGCGGAGCTAAGAACAAGCAGGCTAGAGGCAGAGCCTGCAATAAGTCTGGATTATGTACCCGTACATCTAGGGGCCATCTTCACCGTCCCTCGCGTAGAAAGCGGACGCCACTTCGGTTAACTTATATGGGTAGCCGTACAAGGATCCTGCTGACTGCATTTTCTTTCTCAGTATTATTGACCGAATTTCCTTGCTGCTGTTTTTGGTTATCAGAACAACCTTGACGGACCCCAAATTTGAAGCCAAGAGTCGGCCGAGATATGCCCTCCGTAACTATGTCACTTCATCCTCAACACGAGTTACGCAAGGTTCAAGATGATTGAGCACGCGCCTTTCCTTCAACAGACCGATGCTACAGGCTTAGCTTACTGTTTTCTCCGTATTCTGGCAAGGGAAGCAAGTGCTTGTTCATTGCTCAAGACTGGCATGATCCAAGTGAGACTGGTAATTACTGCATATTGACACAAGGCAGGCTCGGAGGACGGCGTCACTTCATTGGCGTGAAAGATAGGGGGCGATGCCAAGGAGCGGCGCAGAATGGTGCCTATCCGTACTTCTCGATTCGGTACAGCAAGATCTCATCAAAGCACCAAACTCCCCTTTCTGCGCAAATTCGGGACATGACAAAGAAACAAGGCATGTTAAACACGATAACGTTAGGCCAACAGGCCCCCCGTCTACCCCCGCCGACCCGCTTGGTTGCCTCTGCTTACCATGCCGTCCCAGATGCGGGCTTTTGATTCGTATACTTGCTTCTGGTGGGTTCACACGCCCCGTTTTCGACTGCAGTTGGATGGGAGCTAGGAGACGGGGACTATGTTCATCACGATATCGTTGGCCTAGCGTGCATCCTACTTTAGCGCTGGGTCCTGGTTCTCAGGACTGTGCTTCATATTGCTAGGCAGTCAGACCTTATCTCACAAGAAGGCAGCTACGTGAGCCACGTGTATCCGTAGTCAATAGTGGTAATAAACAGGGCTTGTTAGAAGGCATATTCTCCGTCGGTCATGGCTACGACGTAGGCTTCAGACCCATGCTTGTTGGAGTGGAGTGTCGGTTTCCCAAGTCGGATCCCGATCTTGACCTTGCTATATCTAGCACATTACATCTCAGGTAGGCAGCGAAATCGTTTGCAAACGTAGATCACCACTTCGAGGCTGATTTTCTCTTGAAGTGTTAGTATTTGGTACAATTTCTCTCGTCATAACCAGCCGTTGTAATTATCAAGGGCCACAGGCAAAACAAGCTTGAAAACAATCCGATCGAGTTTACTATTTACGCCTAAACATCTTGCGAAGGTTCCTAATCATACTATTGTGCAAGCTCAGCAGCTCATTACGCTTAGAGAATCTTCCATCATCCCCAATGGTGGATCTTGACATACTAGTTGTCTCGGCATTCAAAACATGTCTATGGAACTCTAGAAGCGTGAAAAAAACACGGTGGTCAAGTAGTCCAGCATTCAGTATCATACCGACTTAGACAGTCTCCGCAAAGACGCACCCGCTGGATGCTATTTGTGCCAGGTAATTGAAGAGGAGGTAAATGCTTTGATAGAGGACATTGCGATTCTCCCCAAGCCGTGCTTGAGGACGATACGGTGGTCGCCCACCTGGGACATATTACATTTGGTCAGCCGGACGCCCTGAGGTGATCGGTAGCAGAGGCGGCGGTGGTCATGACAAGCACCCAGTATCTCTAGCCCCCGCAATCATTCTATCCAATCCAATACTAGGGTTCGTTTTCGCCACAATAGCAGTATCACGTTCGCACAAATAGGGAAACATTGGCTGCCGCTATCTGGTTTAAGCCGTCTTGATGTTGCATACAGTCAGCGATCAACCACTGTTGCTAAAGCTTCATATAGTAATTATAAAGGCAAGAGGTCAACCCATGTGTAGCTCTGATCATAGTTTTAGCTTCAGCATAGATCGTCTTCACTCCTTTGTCGTAAGAAGAAACTGATCCGGTGTACTACAGCTTCCGATTTGAACTGACTAGTTCATACCAGAACGATTGGTATTGCTATGGTCAGATTGCACTATTCACAGTTGAGGCGACAGTGTAACAGAACTCATAAAATCTTTCGCTCATAAAGCTAATCTCAACGCCGACTTCGGCTGACGAGGGCGGCGTGTTTGGGGCGAGCCCGGATCCTCGGACCAAAATGAGCTAATCGGCAAAGACTTAGCTGAACTAAGTCCGCTAACTTGGTGAACTCTGAATATGTGTGGTTATGTTGAATGGGCCATACGTGCATGTACTCAGAACGTAGGGGTGAATCAAAGTATTGTTCTATGACTATCTTTCCCAACTATAAGTTAGGGCTGAGGTATGATAGTTATGTACTCGGTCATATGTTGTTGAGTCAGTTCGGTCCGTTCGTAAGATGATTCCTGCCCGAGGTCCGAGTATCCAATCTATTGACCTTTATCCCTTGTGTACTGAATCATGGGATGTCGTACGGTCAGGTGACATTGATATCCCAACAGGTTGAGACTTAACGCCGACACCCGTGATTCATTACAATAGGGAGTTTTGAAATCACGCCAGGTCCAACATCCCACCTCGGAGATATTCCATGCCCCAGCTCCCTTGTCATGCATGAGTAGAGGATTTGGTTTCCAGGCTCTGTCCATTATGCTACCCGCTTTTTAAGCTCAGTGTCCAAATTTTTACTCGTCTTCGGCTTGGTGTCTGTACGCCCGACATCCCCCATGCAATATTTAATCGACAACCTGCTTATTTCATGGCTTCATCATGGATATTCTCATTCCGCGATCTCAACATCGCCCCAAGCTGCTCGATCATTGAAAATCATGTTGAAACCACTCAAGAATGTTGGTGTCCTTGGCGGCTCTTACGTCGGACTTGTATGTGCTACCATCGACTACGAAAATCAGTACGGTTCCTAATGCTCCAGGTGTAGGGTGCCGTCAAAGAACTAGCAGGAACATTTCCAGCATCTCATCGCGTAAGGCACACTTGGGTCATACTCGCGGTGAATGTTACTGATATTTCGCCATCGTCTTCATAGATCTTGCTCATTGAGCCGCACAGCCATTTCCACCATCTTTTTGCTTTTGTAAGCCGCCATGAGAAAGCACTAGGGTAGTTGCATTGCAGAGATCATTTGATTAATAGCTTTCCGCTAGCCTCGCTTTGCTGTTCTGCCAAACCATGAACACAAGGCTTTTATTCCATACACCGCGGCTTTCGCAGGGTCGCCCGACTCATCGCGGCACCAAGTTATCCAGGCCCGTGCCCATCCTCTCCTACATAACAGCGTCGTTCTTGATCGAGACTGGCAGGGGTCAACCGAAATTCCATTCGATTACCTTATCGTCGCCACAGGCACTCAGCTGCCGGCGTCCGGCACTATGCCACATGACGACAAGTTATCTTCGATCAAGTATCTTCAATCGTATCAGGGATCGGTCATCAAAGCTTCATCTATTGTTTTAGTCGGAGGTGGTGCCGTAGGGTGTTCAAATGGCGACCGATTTGAAGGAGCTCTACCCTGACAAGGAGATCACTCTTGTGCATTCTCGCGATTGTCTGATGCCTTTGTATCACAGCAAAATTCACGAGGTCCTCAAATCTCGACTTGAAGAATTGGGTGTCAAGTGAGTGAGCTATACCAACCTGTAGTGCGGCGCTGACCTTCGAGACTACAGACTTATCACTGGAACGCGCGCCGTGTTTCCTCCTGCCAATCTCGATCATGACGATACGAAGGTTGTCTTGAGGCTCACAAATGGTCAGGAACTCGTAGCCGATCTTGTCATTCCTGCAACAGGGCAAAAGCCAAACAACGGGTTCGTCCAGACTCTCCAGTCAAGCAACGGCGATCCTATATTGAACCCATCCAATAGGTTTATCAATGTACTACCTACGCTTCAGTTCAAGGATCCGGCGTACCCCAAACTTTTTGCCGCTGGTGACATTGCCGATACGGGAGCACAAAAAGCTGCTAAGCCTGGCGTGGTACAGGCGCAGGTGGCGGCCCGGAATGTTGTCGCCATGATCGAGGGTCGGAGTCCTGTGGAAAGATTCTCAGTCAGACCACCGGGACTCCATATGTCTATAGGACTGGTAAGAAATGCGGAATGATGTTGGCGGACAATGCTGACTTGAGTGTTGGTGCCTTTCTAGAAAAAGAACATGAAATTCATAAATCCTAACGTTGAAGCTGGGGAGACGGAGCCTACCGTCATTATGCGAGACGAGTAAGTCATCCCTGGTGAACCTAGTAGATCCGTCACTGATTATTATTCAGTGGTAAAGATGATTTGGGTATCGAACGTGTCTGGAAACGTCGGGGCATCAATGTTACTGATCCGAGGGATTATCATTTGTAACACGATGAAGAGAGAGACAATCCTGTGCAGGATCATCTGATTATCACTAATCAGAAAGCATTGGGCACGGTGACCACTGATCAAAAATGACCACATTGTGATCGCGTGTCAAAACTCACCTTATAACGATCACTAATCACTGTCCAATTGCGAAAGCCTCTGCTACTTATGTTGCAACTCGATTGGTAATTGGATTTGGGCCTCACATGGAAAGTTTACAGCTCGGTCAAGGCAATCTATCATGAAATTTCAGTAGAAAAGAACAGTAGTATCTCATCCGAAAGGTTTCCCAGCTCATCACATAACATAACCGTGCTTTTCGTAAATCATATCCCAGATAACTAAGATCATCATCTCCAGTCACCACAACCGCAGACCAAGAATAATTACCGACCATGGCTCCTCGACTTATTTTTGTCATTGGTGCTACTGGCGCTCAAGGCCTACCTGTATGCCGTGGACTCACCAAAGATGGCGCGTACAGCCTGCGTGTTCTGACACGTGATACAACATCCGCTCGGGCACGGGAGCTTGCCAAGCTCGGAGACGTCGAGTTCATTGAAGGCACGTTTGCCAACGAAGCCAGCCTGCGAGAGGGCTTTGCGGGATGTTGGGGCGCCTTCATCAACATTGACGGCTTCAACTGCGGCGAGAAGACCGAGGTCTATTGGACCATCCGGACTTACGAACTCGCTGTCGAGCTCGGAATCAAGTTTTTTGTATTCGGAAACCTCGACTACGCCTATAAAAAAGGCGGCTACGACCCAAAGTTCCGAGCCGGGCACTACGATGGCAAAGGCCGTATGGGAGAGTGGATGCTGCAACAGCGGAAGAGCAACAACATGGGAGTTGCCCTATTCACCACCGGGCCATACATTGAGATGACGATTTCGGAAAAGACAATCATGACCCCGAGAGTTGAGAACGGGATTGTCACTTGGAGAGTTCCTCTCGGGGATGGGGAGGTTGCGCATGTCGCCCTGGACGATTGCGAGTACTATGTCCGTTGGCTCTTTGACCACCCTGAAAGGTCTGACGGGATGGATCTGGAGGTTGCCATTGATCACATCCACTACGCCGATCTAGCCGCAGCATTCGAAAAGGTTACAGGTAGCCCGGCTCAATATATAGACACTCCTGCGGACGTCTATTTTGGCCATGTCCCGTTCTCTCACCAGCCGGCAGGGTACAACGCTGACCCAGCAGACCCAGCAACCATGTCATTCAAGGACAACTTCACCGCGTTCTGGAATATATGGGCACACTCCGCAGGCAACAAAGGAGTCATCAAGCGGAACTACGCGCTTTTGGACGAGATTCACCCGAATCGGATCAGGACAGCGGAGGAATTCTTCAGGAGAGAAGAAGCGAAGAGGCGAGCCGCTGGGCTTGCTGGTCTCCTTGAATCCATCCAAAGCAACGCCCTGACTTCGATCTTGAAGATTACCGAAGATGGCAGGAAGGGACGGTTGTAGTTAGCTTGAGAAGGCTTTGACGGATAGGCTCCATCATTCAAAGAATGTATTGCCACTACGTACAGAAATTTGGAGATCTCCAACTAATATTGCAGAGTATACCTTGATAGTCATGGCTTAATATTGGTTCAAGCAGCAGGTCGGGCGTGGCATCAAAGAAAACAATCGAGAGCCCATGATTTGGCTGTCAAATATTCCACAGTTAGTGAGGATCGAAGAGGCAGGAAATGGCTTATATTTGTTTACTCGAGGCAATCGAAAAAATACTACACTCTTTATCGTATCCTCATCTCAGTATTCCCTAGTGCCTTCCTATTAGATGTACAGACTAATGATCAATATGAAGGTCATCCAGGCTGATGCCCATTAGAATCGTGAGGTAACGAAGACCCCACAAGGGCATTTGTTTCGAATAGTGCTTGTCTAATGCTTGCCCAAAGCCAAAGAGCAACAGAGGTGCCAGTTTGCTAGATCTTGGTGGATATATCGTGCATTTCACGAGATTTGATTGGCAGTTGTTGTGTTTTGGCACACGTCTAAGGCACTATGCAAAAACTCAAAGTTCTCATGAGATGGTTGACTCTGAAATCGTATCAAAGTTCCTCCCACAACGTCAGCAAGCTAAGCAACCAAGAAGATCAAAATGGGTCAGAGATTTCTACGTCTTCAAATGAAAAGAACATTGTATGGTCAGCAGATTAGACAAAGGGTTTGTAGTCTGTAACCATAAGCTGATGGCGATGGGATATGCGGTGGTGCTTCGCTTCCGATGCACTGTTGCTATCATTGAATATATGAAAGTTCTATGGAAGTCTATGAACGTGGCACTATAAAATCATGTACTAAAAAACGGCTGGGAACTCGTGTTCATTAAACCAGGTACGGTCCCACTTGTTTCTCCAACCATTCCCAGTACTTCTTCCCAAGCTCCTTTTCCACGAGGTCAGCCCGAGCAGGTGTAAGACGACCAAAGGGAACCACTAAGAATCTCAGTCAGAACAATGAACAGCTTTGAAGTCGGGGATTTGAGCGACGCTTACCCCAGTCACTGGTGTTTGCGTGAGTGATATCAGGGCTCAGACCGGCGAATAGCTCGGTGTAAGCACCATTCTTTGGCTCTCGCGCAATTGCTTTCTAAAACGCGACAAGAAAACCATCAGCGATAGTCCCGGACGAATGCCTGTTGCTCGATTTGGATCGTACGACTTACCGCAATGATCTTTTGGTACCATGGCATCGTACGCTGCAGGTTTGTCATGTAGACGCCGGGGTCGACACTCTGGTTGGTACTGTAAGCGATGGTCTAGTCCTCTCATGGGAGCGGGAGTGGCCTACTATGCTGACGATTCCCTCTTTGGCCGTCCGCCTCGCATACTCGGCTGCAATGACGACGTTACCAGCTTTACTCCTGCCGTACTTTGTCCCCGCGCTCTCGTCCTTGGCGTAGTTCATGTTGTCAAAGTCGATCGGGGGCTTGGGGGCCATGGACGCATAGCCCGAAGACAGCCATACAACGCGGACCGAGTCCCTCGGTGCAGTTCTGGCCGCAGCAGATAGCGCGGGGTGGAGGAGATGGGTAAAAAGAAACGGCCCCACGGCGTTGACGCCGAGTTGGAGTTCGTAGCCCTGAGCTGTCTTGGACCCTTGCGGTGGGAGCATGACGCCTGCGTTGTTCCAGAGGACGTCCAGGCGGTCTTCCTTCCCGAGGAACTCTTGGGCGGATTGCTTGATCGTCGAGAGGTCGTTGAGATCCAGGAACAGATACTCACAGCGTCCTCTCGACTGCGGGTACAACTCCTTCAGCTCCTTCATCACAGCCATGGTCCTCGTCTCGGACCGTGCTGCGAGGTACACTTTGGCATTTCTGCTGTAGAGGATGTTTGCTAGTTCCTTGCCTAGACCACTGGAGCCTCCTGTGACGATGAAGACCTATGAGATGTGAGACATGAGATGGACCGGACGAAGAAGATTCTGCTTTACCTTGTTACTCTGATCGGGCAAGGTTTCCTCTGTGAGATTGGCTTTCGGGGGGAACATATTCTTCAAAGCGGCACTCATTTTGCTCAAGTTCTTGGTATTGTTGTAATTGTCTTGTGTATGTATGCAGTATAGAGTTTGAGAAGTAACTACGGAAACTGCGGCCTCTGGTCTCTTATATATACATGTGGACGACTTACATTCCAACACCCCACGAATTGTATCGCAAGCCTCCTTGCATGTTCAAGTCACCATAAAACCACTGGTGTCGTGTAGGGCAATGTCAGCACACCTAGATAACGGAGTGGCTTGAGCGGTTAGATATGTAACCGCGTGGCGTTCGGCCGCGGTAGGAATTAAGGCGTGCATTGGTGAGGTTCTTTACCGGATTCGTCATTAGGTCACGGGTTTAGGTGCTTGGTGGTCAGCGTAAGCCCGAATCTCACCCTCCGGAGTTCCGCATTAAGGAGATGGGAGAGAACCAAATCGCCGACAGCCCGCAATGCACTAGTTACTTCAGCTCGGGTCGAATCTCAATTATGGACATGTGAGTACGACCGGGTTTCGGGCTTCAAAGTAGCTCACGAACCATGAAGAGCGTGGCGAACAAAGGGTACGCGGCCAGAAAAGGCACCAGGTGTCATGTGCAATTACCAGCTGCTGCCATAACTTCCCACAAACAGTCGCGGTTACTTATGGGGCGTAGCCAACAGATTCAGCCTCTCTCATGTGACCCCGATTATCATGGTAACCCTCCAACTCATAGTATGGCATATCTAGCTGCTGCCCTTCCAGCAATTCCACACCCGGCTGGATCGTCGCAGGTTGCTTGGATTCGAACGACGGCGTAAACCCGAAATCGAGACTCGGGTCCTGCAGCATTTCCTGCTCTTCGGGAAAAGGGACTTCGGAGAGAAATGTGAAGTCAAAGTCTGGGTGAGTATAGTTGCTGAACAAGTCTAAAGGATCAGGTATATCTGGAGTCGTGACACTGGTCATACTTGAAGGTGACGTATCCGTTGCCGATGAGGTCGACCCGTCTGTCTGGGAAGCTGGTGCATCGACGCTTGGTGGATCTTGAACGCCATGCTCCTGGTTCTCGAGCTGCTGGTAGCCCTTGAAGAGCGTAAGCTGGAGATTGCGGGCGATTTCGATCACCTTCTGCTTCATCCCTTGTTCGACAAAGCTGAGCTCGCGATCGATTTCGTTTTCGAGTTGCCGGCGAACCAAGGGCGGGAGCTCGCGGCGAAGGTAGTCCTCGTAGCCGCCCAGGCTCGTGTCGGCATCCTCTGTGCTGTAGTCTAGTCCTGTCAGTACTCCCAATCCTACAAGTGGCCCCCGTAAGGTTCCGACTTACAAGGTGAGGGGATCTCCCTTTCTCTCACGTCTGGGAAGAGGATTCTGTACGCCTGCGTCCACTTCTCGACCTCGGTGAGGTCCTTTGCGGACGTTTTCTTACGCGAGCGGAGCCTCTTTTCTTGGTCTTGGGTGATGCCGTCAAGGAATTCTGGCTCGCGGACCTCGCAGGCGTCTGCAGAGCGGGCGTGTGCTTGGAGATCTGCCTGGGTCTCGAATGGTTGGGAGCAGCGCGGGCACGAAAACTTGGGGAGCGAATGTTTGCGGTAGATGTGTTCCCTGGGAGATTGTCAGCCCATTCCTTGATTGTGCGGATAGCACGGCGGCGCACTTAATACGGTGGACGTGATCCCAGCCGGGCCCGCAACATGGTCGCTGGTTCTTGTACTTCCGAGAATTATGCTTGAAGAATGGGCAGGCTAGTTTCTCACCGTTCCCTCTGTCCTCATGGATCTTGGACAGCTTTGCCCGAGGCGGACGGTTCCCATCCCCGTCGCTGTTTCCATCCTCTTCTTCTTTGTTTCCGTGCGGTGGTCTATCATGCTTATTCGATCTTTTTCCTGATGATCGCACAGATGCACCCTCTGCTGGCACTGTCTGATGGGTGCGGGCAGTACGCTTCCTTGGAGCTGAAGATGGTGCGGCTGGTGTTACCACTGCCCGAGGAGCTGATGAAATTGGTCTCAGATGGGTATTTTCCAGTTGAGTCGGAGGAGAAGAGGGCGGCAGAGCAGCCATCAACGCATTGGGGGCGCGGGACTGGCTCATGGCAAGCCGAGGCACTACCCCGACCTTCTTTCGCTTGTCAGGGATGTAACCTGGTGCTCCCAGTGCTGGCGGCGGTGACGGTGACGGGAGGGCCGATCTCAACGCCACATCGCTTCGACAACTTGGCACCGGTGCGTTGAAGGCAAACTCGCTGGCACTTTCTGTTGATATTGGCAAAACCAGAGGTACAGATGTTGGAGGGGGAGGGATATCCGACTCATCTTGGCCTCCGGAGCCCCAATGAGTAATTGCAGGCAGCGATTGCTCTGGGTCGAGCGACCCATCTTCGTTCTTGACTTTCAGTTTCGTGTCCAGCCAGTTCATGAAGGACGACATAACTCTGTCAACCATGACCCTCTGGAATCTCTTGGACGGGTCGTCGATCTCCTGATATACTTCATTTTCTGTGTTGGAAGAGCTGCCATCGAAGTCCCTACCGCTCCTGAGCTCTGGTGTGGTTGGGCGAGTTGCTTTCATCGGACTTGGACGAGGTTTGTCGGGGTTGTCAACAAGTTCGCCAACTGCTTCTGTCTCGAGTCCCGCTGGCACCTTTGATGAAAATTGGGGTTCAAAGATTCCAAAGTCAAGTTCTTTCGACACCGGGGGCTCGGCACGACGGCTTTTCTGTCCCGCCTCTGCTTTGGACAGAAAGGCTGGGTCAATGACCACGGCAGCGTCGGAGATATGGTCATTGTGTGATGCGAGGTCGGATACACTCGTTATCTTCTTTTTCTTCTTCTTATTCATCATCATCATCATCATGTTCCAGCCTTCGGGAAGCTGCACTGATGCAGGCGTTTCGGAGGAGCCTGGGCAGTGGTCCACCGAAGGGAGTTGGGCGCGGCTGTTGTTCCAGCTCGGAACTGCAGACCCCGGTGCTTTCTTCGGGGGAATTTCGTCCGAGTTTCCATCTTGGCTGCCCGAGAAAGGACTGATGAGAAAGCGTGAGAGACGGCTTCTGGTACGAGACCGGGGCGGATTCGACTCGGTGAGAGTCGTCTCGGAAGTCTCATGCTCTTGCTGGGCTTCATCGGAGGGCAGATGGTCATCGGCCGTCTCGAGATCCGATACACGAGGCGAGCCGTCGCGGCGCCGGCTATCTTGGTCGGATTCGCTCGGGTCGCCGGTGACAGGCTTCTTTCCCTTTTCTAGTGGCGGCGGGCTCATGGCCACCAGCGGGAGTTTCTGTGGGGCGGATTGAAAGCCGGCGTGAGGGCAGGGGACGGCAAAGGAGCCTCGACGCCGGACGAAGCTGACGCAAGGGACAGGCTCTCGCGATCTGTACGCGATGAGAGGTTCAGATGCAGACGCAAGGGGTGACGGAGTGAATGTGGGTTGTTCGTTGTTGACAGGGGACTGGGTTGGGGGTTTTTTGATGGATTGAGCGTTGCGGTTTTACGCGGCGGCGCAAAAGTCGGGGACGCGGGGGCGCGGGGTGCGTGTGCACTGCGGCTGACAGGGCCCCACTTGGCCGAGCACGGTGGTCCACTCTATATCCGTGTGCCTACAGGTAGGTACCTATGGACCTAGGTAGGCATTTTACGCAGTGGAAGCGACCACGGTGCCGGGCCTTGGGTTCTTCGAGGACACCAAAGACTCAACATGGTATTATTGTGAGTAGGATAGGGTCCAAAATGCTTGTTTTCCGACTGAGTGAGTTGTACAACTTTGGTAGGGAAAGGGGGAGCTTGAACCCAGCTGATAATGCGCTCAAGCCCAAGCAAGTGCCCTGCCTATGCAAGTAGCCATCGTACCCATCCATACCCTCTTGTTAGCAAACTCAAAAGCCTGCTCGTTGGCTGTATTTCAAACCTTGGTTCATGTCAAATACCTGAAGTGATATAGATGGCTCTTTGAGCAGTGTGGTGATATGGCACCAGGTAATGTAATCCGTCGCCTGCGTTGATGTGATGGAGTGGAGGACAGACACAAAGGGGCCAGGAGAGTGGAGCGTGTTGGTGGCTGTACTAACTAACCTTTATGACGCTCAATAGTATGATTTGCCAGGACTTTGCGGGCCGGACTAGGAACTGATAATGTGTCATGGATATTGGGAAATTATCATGAGAGCAACAGTGAACGAGTGAACGAGTGAGGGAGGGAGGGAGAGAATTCCCCTTGTATGGCCGTTGCAAATGGGACATTGCCGGGAGAATCGGGGGACCAAGGGCGCGCAAAGATGACACTAGGGCGCGACCAGAAAAGGGCGTTTTTGTCAGCAAGGAGCCACAGAACCACCTTCTTTCCCTCTCCTTCTCACGACCACCAGAGGCAAGGAAGGAAAGGTAGAAAACTGTACCTTCCTTTCTCCCTCTCCTCTCATATACTTGCCTAGGTAGGCAGGTGCCTTATCAATGGTTCTTTCCTCTCTTGCCAGACCACCCTCGAGCTGCAAGCACGTGATTGTGATTCGCCAAAAGGACCGGCTCTGCTCTCATCACCCGCGAGACCATCAATATTCATCCGCCATCAACGTAACTCCAGCAAGTTTTCCATATATTGTTCACAAGTGTCCTTGGACTCGGATCGCTCTGAAATGAGATAGGGTCGCATAGGTATGCAACAGTACCAAAAGCACAATAGCAAGACACCGTACAAGCAATTATCTATCATGCCTAATCAATAGTGTACTCAACACAATAGGACCGCTTCGAAACTTCATCTACGAATACTCGGACTATCTTGCTTGGCATCTTGGCATCCTACCTTCCGGCGAGGCCTCTCTCTCTCTCAACCTAACCCCATGTCTTCCAACTGCTCCCTACGCCGAGCGATATCATGCCACCCACGCCAACCATATGCAGCCCCCTTCGCCGACGATGCCCTGCCACTTACTTGCTCTTCTGGGCTGACCGCCCTTATCTTGATGCCAGTCACCCAAGGCACCCCAAGAAATCCAACCAGGGTTCCATTCGACGAAGCCCTGCACCCCCGATAGATCAATCTCTGTCCAATGATGGAATGTTCTGTGCCACCAACCATGTCACTATACGCCACCGTTCAAGGGGTTTCCCCCCCTTCAACATACCCAAAGGGCCTTGGCTTGCATGTATGGTCCCCCAACAACGCAATTATAACTAGCTGTCCGACCCCTCCATGTCTCTTCCCTCCTCGCACCATGCACGCGCATCATGTCTGGCTATTACAGTCAAGTCTGTGTGTGAAAGCACATGTGGTATCTTGATTTTGCCAACAGCTACTGGTATACATCAAATCATTCCGAAAGTCATCGCTGGTCACAGGACGTCTCTGTATTTCAGTGTACATGGATGAGCAGTCCATGGTCTTGCTGCTTCCGTTTTTCGACCGCAGGCACGACCCATCTCTCTTTTTATTTCCCTTTCTCTCCAGCACCCATTACCAAACGTGGTGAATGGCACGCTTCCACGCGGGCATCGCCGCAAGACGTGCGCGGTATGCGTGGACCTCGTCCCAGTCAAGCTCACGTCGGCCAGTGTCGACATCCATCTGTGCCGTGCGGAGCCAGCCGGTGCGCTTCCAGAGGAAGCCACCGAGCCAGAAGATCATGACAACAGGGAGGGCGAGGTACGACTTGAAGAAGCCTTCAGCACCGTTCAGCTCGTCCGTGCCAGGGGGGGCAATCGCAGTGTAGAACTATTCATCTCGTTAGCGCCTCATTTCTCATTCGTCAGCCGGGGATTGAAAACACATACCTGAGCAGCAAGGACAACAAAGCACAAGAAGAGGCCAATCCAGGAGCCGGTGGTGCCACCGATCGCCTTGAAGGGGATCTCGTCGATGGTGTGACCGTGGTACGCCCAAGCCTTGCGGAAGCGGATGTGTGCCAGGCAGATGGATCCCCAGGTAAAGACGGCCGCCAAACCCGAGAGAGCCAGCAGCCAGTCGAACACAACCGGTCCGCTTGCGTTGAGGTTGACGTACGCCAGCGGTCCAAAGATGAGAATGGCGAAGACGGACGGCAGGGGACGTCCGGAGCGGTCAATGTAGGTAAAAATCTTGGGCGCATATCCCTGCTGAGCCAGGGCAGTGAGGGTACGCGATCCACCATACACACCCGACACACCAATCGACAGAACGGACACGAGAATGACGCAGTTCATGAAGTGGTCGAAGCCCACGAGGCCGGCGTACTTGCCAACAAGCACAAAGGGGGAGGCCTTGACGTCAGAGTACGACGACTCGGAGAGCAAAGAAGGGTCGTCGGACGGGATCAGCAGACCGACAAAGAAGAGACCCAAGATGTAAAACAGCGAGATACGCCAGAACACCTGCTTGATGGCACCGGGCAGCGACTTGACAGGGTTCTTGGCCTCAGCCGCGGCCAGACCGACGAGCTCGGTACCGGAGAAGGAGAAAGCTGCCGTGACGAAGACGGAGCAGAAACCCTTGAAGCCGTTGCGAAAAGCGCCGGGGTCATACCACAGCTTGGCACCCTGGTACTCGTGGTATCTACCGCTCTCCGGTCCGCCACCGAGCACGAGGACGAGGCAGATGATCATGAAGATGACGGTAGCCCCGAGCTTGATGCAAGACGACCAGAACTCCTCCTCGGCGTAACCAATCGAACCGAAGATATTAATGATGATGATGGCGACAAGAAAGACGGTGATCCACACAGCGACACTGATGTCCTTGTTCCAGTATTGAACAACGAGACCACTGACTGTCAACTCGAGCGGAAGAACGATGGCCCATTGGAAGACGTAGTTCCAGCCCATGGCGAAACCCCAGGAAGGATCGATGAAGCGGGTCGAGTAGGTGTAGAAGCCACCAGAGACGGGGTACATAACAGCGAGTTCACCGAGGGCATACACTTTTTTGCCAATGTCAGCTACTGCTCGTTCGCTGTGGAGGACAGTTTCGACTACTTACCGACGTTGAACATCATGATACCGACGAGGAAAAAGTCAATGAACAGGGAACCGGGACCCTGTGTCAGGTCAGCAACAACACTCGACGAATACGACGACCAAGGCGAGCAACGCCTCCGTCCATGGCAGTACTTACACCCTTGCTCAGAGCACCACCGGAACCGACGAAGAAACCAGCACCGATGGAGCCACCGATGGCGATCATGTGGAGATGACGCTTGCTCATGGCACGGTCGAGCTCGACGACACCGCGGCCATATTCGCGCTTCTTGAACGATGTCAAGTTCAGGCCGGCACGGGTTGCCCAGGACTCCTCGCTGATGGCACCACGAACGTCCTTTCCGCTGCTAGAATCGTAGGCAGGGGCGCGGCCAATGGCCTTCTCGTCGGCCTCGACCTTTGTGGGGATGACCCCTTCTTGAGCAGCCATGATGGCGATGTACAACTTCCGTGGAGGACTGGAAGCAGACTCAAGACCTGTGAAGGGTATGGACAGACAACGGATGTCTGTTGCAAAAGAAAGATATGCGGGAGCACGACCCGAGAGGGAATGAAAAGGAACGGAGAGGGATGCCGAGCTGACACGGACAAGATGAGACGGGGGGAAGGGAAGAGCTTTATGAAGGAAATGCTGATCGAGACAGGAACTGACGCGCAAGGACTAAGGGTTCTTGTCAAGGGCGGCGCAAGCGGATCCAGTCATGCACGGAAGGCCACCAACAGATCGCAATCCATTGACGATGGATAATTACACACACAAAAGGAGGAGGAATAGGTGAGAGGGTCAGGGATGGAATTACGATGGGGGATGGTCTGTCCGGCTTTGCCCCTCTCTCTTGGGGTGAAGTACGCTGATCTTAGCAAGGACGAGCTCCGAAGCAGGCAATCCTGGACAACAACCCAACCGTTTACTGTCGCAGACGATGATGGTGGGATGGGGGGCGATTTGGCTTTCGGCCGTGCATCGATACGTACCGCATCTTACGGGAAGAGGGAAGGCCAAGCCATTGTCGAGTGTCAAGTGGGCGGCGGGATGGCCGCGGACAGCTTTCCGATAGGCATGATACGCTAACCAAGGGCACAGGTATGTATGGGTTCGCCCGACAAGAAGCACTACGCGGTCGCGGTCAGGGTCGCAGTTGAAGAGGATGGGGGTACGGCAGCACCTGAGGAGAACAAGGGTAGAACCACAGTAACGGATAGTCGACCTGTTCTCCAGACCCTCTTACTCCTTTCACCACTGGTGAGTGCGCCTCTTCGGACGATTGCGCATCTGGAGTCGAAGCCCCCAGATAGCATGAGCGGCGCTGGTTGGCCAATGACCATGGTGTCACTTGAAGCCGTTAGCAAATGGCTCCGCAGAGTGGCCGCCCCCTCGCTATCCGCCCACTGTGCGCTCTCCTCTCAACGTTATCTCAGAGTCCGACTCCTCGTCCCCCTCGAAAACCAGTGGGTGGGACTGGGGCGCAAGTGGAGTGAGCACGAGTCCTTGGGAATTACGACAGGGGAGAAAGGGCCGGCAGGTGGTCCAAGTCCGCGACACTGGAGACGAGTCGAATCCAGGTGCGCTACGAATAAGCTGGGATGACTTGCTTAACACTTGGGCAGTCTGCATGCGCGGTCATCTCAGCCAGTGTACGGATAGTCGAATCCGATTTGTGTAGATGTCGAAGAGTGATGGAATTGACCGCCATCAACAAGCCACACGGGTGAAGTCTCTTGCCTTTCGCTCCCTGCCGCAGACAACGAGCTGATCTTGGCCGCCCCGGGTTTCTCTGCAACCTTGCAAACACCCGACGTCGTACAGCACATGGGTGAGACAGGGGACTAGGATGCCAACAACTCCACGCACGCACACACACACACACACCACACCTACGGCCACAGACAGTTTCGGTCTCAAGGTTTCTGGCGTTTCTGCGCTAGCTTTGGCTGCCGGTGCTGTCGCGTGATGGCTTGTGAATCGTCAACTACGTCAACCCCGCGCACCGTAGCAACATGGCTTCTAGATCTGGCTGAGATCGTTGCTCGGAGAAGGCCTATGGTTCCGCCGCCGCGAGTTGCAAAAAGCATCGGCATCGGCATGCACACTTGATTACATGTGTCGGATACTGCGCTTGTTCCCATCACTGGAGCCTGCGCATGGCACCAGGGGGTTGTGGGAAATTGAGTCGCGTCCCCTGTCCGACTCGGCTGAGAGGTGCCCATTCACTGTCGCGTCCTTGTCTGTCGCCCGCCGGTATAGGCCCTATCGCGATTGTGTCACCTCTATCCGTACAGCTTCCACGCGAATTACCGTCTCAGTTGACACATATACTCATCCATGGCCTACGCCCCAACCAACAATCGGACAGTAGCCCCGGTATGATGGTGTGTGATTTCACTCGCGCGATAAGCCATTGGTGACAGCATAGGATTATGACGTCTGCTGGCCATGCGATAAGAACTGGATGGGTGCCTACGGCTCATACCATTTGCCGACTCGTTTCGAACAAGCCATCAATGCGCCGACCAGTATCAATTAGCGTGCGCCGCCAATCGAGGGGGCGAATAGGATACAATCCATACGTTAGATGCTCTTGGTGTCTTGATTGTCTTCCATCACAACACCAACCGGGAGATCCAGTCTGCCCACTCGCGCGGGGGGTGCATATCCGGTAACCTGCTTTTAGGTATTCTACCTACTACGTAGCATTCCCTGCCAGTTACGGTAGTGCCCAAGACAGGCCACTTTCTGCTTGGCCTCTAAGGAACCAGTCTGCATGCAAATCGGTTGGCATGCATATCCCGGCACATCACACCCTCCTCGGCCAGACCAAAACCTTCTGTCGGTCCTTCTAGCGCCCTTCTATTTGCCCCTATTGACCCAATCTCACGCTCCCTCCCTTGATCCATCTTGATTCGTCTAACTGACGACGATTAGAGCTTCTCTGAGACTCCCGTAAGTCGCGCCCGCTCGTTGTTGGTATGGAGGCATGCGCCTCTTCTCTGTGTTGCCCTATATCAGACAGACGGTCGCTCCGGACGGAACGCTTATCTGCACAGCTCTCTCCAGTGGCCCAGAGACACCATCGTCATGCGGGTCCTTTGGGGCTGCCACACCCATACCCCCAGCAACCTAGGGGTGCTCCAGTCTAACTGGGGGTCAACTCGGGGAACGAACCAAGAGTGTATCTTCTTCCAGCTCGCCCCGACGAGTATGTGTCGCACAGAGGGGGGTTGCCGGGGATGACACCGCCAGGGCGAATTTGGGTCTACACTACGGATACTAGTATCCGTACACTGCACTCTATGGTTCGCGACGCAGCGGGGGCGCGGAGTGTTATTGCACGACTCGGTCATCACTCACCAGTCAAAGTGGCTGGCCTGGATTGCCTCGAGTCAGCCCAGTTGATTGTGTCTGGCAAAACACATAGTACATTGCTGCGGCACCCGCCTCAAACTGCTGTCAGCCCGACGAACCCCTTAAGGGAGATTGTCGGGAATTGCCATAAGCATAAACTATGCACTTTTGGAGGCCTTATTGAAGATGGGTTCCAAAGGCGTTCGTCCGCTCCCACCGTCGTCCATGTGCACAGCCCCGTCTCCGGTTGCAGCGCCAACGCTGTCGACCGAGCATGCTCCATCCTCGGGAGAAGCACAAGAAATAACCCACATTGGGGGGGGGGGGGGGGGGGGCGGCACTCGTAGACGACCCGGTATCCAAGATTACTTGGGGCCCTCATCACTCGATGCGGCAATAGGCCCTTCTCCGCCAGCCTTGGCTGAAGCAGTCGGTCTTACCTTCTCCATGCTTTAGCCGTGCTTCGGCAAACAACCAATGCCAACCAACGGTGTGACGGGAGGGGAGAGAGACGGATCACCATCACCACATTCCATTATCGGAGACCGAGTGGGTCGGCACCACACTAGGTACTCGGGACGTTGGATCCTTGCCGCGGCATGTCAAAGAACACGCCATTGGCGCCGCCAGAAGACGTAACATCGCATCTGAGGGGTGAGCTTCTCTGCATGGAAGCCATGATGGTACATGACCTACACTACTACTCTGGAGGGCGCCGGTTTTTAAAACACGACCCTTCCGACGCGCAGCGGTGGAGAAGCGCCAACTTGTTCGTAAAGAGCCCCGACAAAACACAATCCGAGGTGGCGGATTGGATTTGCCGGGCATTCCTCTGGGGAAACGCGGCGACGGCCCCCATAGAGGAATGCCCGGCGACGGCCCCCCATTCGCGCGCGAGACGATTCTCGTACGTAACGACATGTATTAGGCGTTGGCCTCAGCTCTCGGTTCTTATCTCTCCCACTCTCCAAGGCTTCCCTGGCATGGACCGGCGGGGTGACCTCCTAGGCTCGGACAGACCGAATCCTAGTTCTTGTGGATATCAAGGACCCGCTTCGATTATTGCCCCCCTGGCTGTAGACCGTTGGTGCAATGTCGCAGCGGCTGCCGCTTTCTCCAGAACAGCTGATATTGAGAGCCAACATGGCGTGAGTTTGGGTTCCAATCAACAGACGATCTATACTTATCCGGCGCCAACGACAGAACCAACTTGTCATGGGGAAATTACCTCGCGCGTGTATCAGTAGCAGTAGCAGTAGCAGTAGCAGTAGCAGTAGCAGTAGCAGTAGCAGCAGGAGTAGCAGCAGGAGTAGCAGCAGGAGTAGCAGCAGGAGTAGCAGAAGTAGAAGCAGAAGTAGAAGCAAGGGGTTTCGTGAGTTTTCCCGCCCAGGCAGCCGTTGTTGCGTGAGCGATCGACGTCCTTTGACTGCTCGGGGTGTTGGCTTCCGAGGAGGGGGTGGGCTGGGATGTCGTGTTGTGGTTTCCTGCGCTCTGCGACGTCGCCAACCTTCTAGAAGAAGCTTCTAGAAAAAGAGGAGGAGGAGGAGGAAGAAGAAGAAGAAGAATGCGCGTTCTAAGGCGCGCGCTGCAAGGGCGGCTTTGTCGGGTCGGAGACATCTGCACAAGCGCCAAGGGGGTATCGACCGAATCGCCTAGTTTCTCGGCCATCGAAGCTGAAGACAGGGCGACCGTGGTCCTTGACGATGACGCCCTGTCCTGCAATGGCTAAGGCGACGAGCGGGAAGCCAGCCCGCCAGCCGTTCGCACAGGAGGGATGCCGCTGCCGCTCCTAGGCGCCGAAGGGCTTAGGCTTGATGATCACCGTAGCATGGCATGGCCAAGGGCTGCTGCACTGATAAGGCGATGCCGTGCTGCAAAGGGGGGGAGGAGGACGGGAATTTTTGGCCTTACGTAGTAGTCCCAGGGCTGAACGCCCGCAAGCAGGCAGCGGGAGGGACGGCCAGGCCGGCGCTGCTACTGGGCTTTGCGACAGATTTAGCAACACGGTCGGATGGCGGCGGCTTCTTATCATCTCGCTGCTTGCGTGTGTGCGGCCCCAGACCTGTGACTCGTGCTCCGACTAGCACCCGGTGAAAGCCACACGAGGCGGGCAGGCCGCGAGAGACCGGCCACTGTGGACCTAGTCTTCTGGTGGGAAATCCGTGATGCCGGTGATACATGGCGGCGGATGAAGGAATTATATTGGGTAGGGATCTTGTTGATGCAGCAGGTCAAGACACTCTCGGGTCCCGTCAGTCTGGACGCTGGTTTTCTTGGAGGACCTCCGCAAGTACCTAGGCCATGGCAACCCAAGGGGCCAGATGGCTGACTGGACCTGAGCTACAAGACGTATGTGTGTACAAGGATTCCTGTTGCCGTTGCTGTCCCTCTCTGTGAAACCGCAAGCCACAATGGGAAAATGTAGCCACCTTCCACCGCTAGGAGCTCATTTGTGCCTGGTGCGTGCCAGACTGAGGATTGGATTACGGGTCCTTTTTGGAGCCCTCTTGTGAGCCTCTTTTTTTCCCCATCCAGCCTGGCTTGCTGCTCAAGCGTCGGCAGTGCAATATCAACATGCGTTGACCGACGTTGTCCGTCCCCCATTTCCCCGCGAATCCACGTCTTTGAAAGGATAAGGAATAAACCCCATTCATTACTTGATCAAAACCCTTAACGAGCATCTCATTACGTACATGCTACGGCCTTATTTTTTGGGGGGACCGGACCGGCATCTCCACACCGAGAAAAGGGGCGGCTCCATTTCCCCGCGATCTGCATCTCGTGAACCGACGCTTGCCGCGAACCAATTCTTTTGCATGTTTTTACGTATTAAAAAAGGGAGGGGGGGGGGAGGAGTGTTGCAATTATGGACCTATAAAAGAACGGCGCGGCGTTGGCGGCACAGGTCCCTGGTCTGAATGCGCACGACGTCCAGCGACAGACCGTCCCCGTGTATGGGGAGGACGATGACCAGCAGCACCAGCCGGAGCGGTGGGGAGACCTGCACGATGATGCACCACCGCCGTACGAGACGTCCTCGACCGCCTCCGCGTCCGCGTCCCGGCCCTCTGTCTGCGAGCTGGGGAACGCGGACGGCTCGCGGGGCTCCCGTAGCAGGAGAGGGTGTTGCTTCTCGGACCGCGGCGGCGGTTGCTGTTGATAGTAAAGACCGCATGCCATTTTTTATTAGACGCGATTGGTCTGGCTGGTGGACTTGCCAATACGTGGCTTCATAAAGCCCAGTCTTGGGCAAAGTTCAACCAGGTCAAATTCCATAATGAAATGTCTCCATAGCACCATAGCCAGGCACTACAAGCGGTCTTGGGAGAGGCCCTTCGGAGTGGTGCCAAATCTGCCTTGCCGGTGATTCCTAGGTGGACTTCGTTACCGAAGGACAATGTCAGACGGGCGGACGTTTGTCCTCTGATGTTGTTCACAAGCGAGTTTATTGGCCAAAAGCCCTATCTCACCGCAGGGCCTCCACGAAGTCATCGGGCTTTGCTCTATGTTAACTTGTCAGCAAACCAGCTTTGGTATAGTTCATTCTCAGTTAGCTCCACTGGTTAATTTGGCCTCAACGACGGTCCACTCTATAACAAGACACCACCCACCACTGTCCAATATTGAATGTCTCGACTGAACTATTTCTTCTTTTGGGGCATACTAATGCCGTCATAAGACGTTGAATCAATGTTTTGTCCGTTGTTTTGATGGCCATCCGTTTCAGACCCTGCACGTTAAGGTGAGAGTTGCTTGACACGTTCTTGAGATGGCCAGCTTTACTCGGCTCGTCACTACACATGAGATGCGGGATTTGACCGCATCACACCTCTTTGCCTGAATACTTCCCATGGCCAAAGCGCCGCCCGAGTAACCCAGAGACTCCGCCGGTCATTAGCCGTAGCGACGTACAATCACCAATAGCATCGAGATCATGAATCACACCGGCTTGTCAGGAAGCCATACATCTGAAAGACCATGTTCGAGTATATATTGACATATTTGATAACATTATAAGTCAACGTAGGGGGGTATTTCGTCATCCTTCACATCATTATATCCGCCATTCACAACACCTTTCCTAAGTATACCTCCAAAGGCAAAGTCTCCTCATCCCGTCATATCTACTAAAACTTGAAAGCACGAAATGCAAACTCGTCATTCCTCTAGTGGAATTCGCCGATGCGGGGGCCGAAGTACTCGCCCTCGGGGAGGGTGAGAAGACGGCATGGCTTGCCCTCACAACCCTCGGAGACGACGCTGTTACCCCACCACTCAAGCTCAACGACTTGCCACTGAAGGGCGAAGAAGATGACGATTCCGGAAATGGCAATACCGCAGGAGAAGGCGGCGGAAAGGACGAAGTTGTACTGCGGACAACGTTAGCTTGAGGGATGCCATTGCCGGGGGCCGACGACAACTCACCTTGGACCAGAGACCCAGGAAGCGACCCTTGAGGTATACCCAAGAGAAATAAGCAATAGGAACCGAGGGCCACACAAAGGACATGTTGTAGGGAGCCCAGACGAGGCATCCGTACATCATGGCGACGGGGTGGATCTGGCGGACCCATTTCCACTTGGGGAAGACCTTGTTGAGACCCCAGAAGAAGAGGACAACGATGACGCCTATCGAAGGGGTTAGTAAGCTAGGGTACGGCCAGGAATACGGTCAGGGGTAGAGCTTACCGAGAGGGAATCCGACCAGAGTCGCAGTGTACTGGCCACCCGCGCCCCAGATCTTCTTAGGTCCAACAGTGCCCCAGAGGACCGAAGCGGTGAAGAAAGTCTTCGGGCTTGTTAGCTTAGAGTTACAGAGGGGGGGAGGGTAACGGAGGGCCGAGGCTTGGATGACTTACGTTGATACCGGGGCAGGTCATCTTGAACTTGGCATCCTCGGTGCAAATACCAGGAAGCGACATCTGGAACTTGATCACAGCCAAGCAAACAAAGGTGGAGACGAATGTGGCAAGCATTTGTGCCCAGAAAGTGTGGCGGGGAGGGATCTTGACATAGTGTGCGAGCTTCAAGTCGTTCGAGAACCACACGGCGTGCGCGCAGGTCACATAGCCAAAGGACTTGAAGTAGTTCATGGCCAGCGCGTTACCCTCCACCCAGGACCCGCCAATGAACTCGGCGAGCACGTTGAGGGTGACCTCGATACCGGTCATGGCCTTGATGATGCCGACCGGGATGACGAAGATGAGGCAGAGAATAATACCGTAAAAGACGACACCGACGGTGGTGTAGGTGGGCCAGGCAGCGATGCCGGCACAGCCAAGGGCAACGGCCACGACCAAGACAGACAAGTACCACCACTCGGGCACTTCGGGGTAGGCTGGATCACGTTAGCGGCATATGACGAAGCGGGAGATGGAAACACCAACCCTTCATGAGACGGTTGTGGACGTCGAGGACTTGGTCCTTCTCAATGTCGCTATCCTTCTTGAAGCTGCCGATCAAAGCCTTGAAGCCAAGGACGATCTCATGACGGTGATACAGTGCGGCATAGGTGATGGTGGCCGTGTAGACGGCGAAGAAGAACATGTAGATGGTGATGTTGGCGGCTCCCAGGAAAGGAGGAGAGTAGGCCTCGTACGCCTCCTTGTCGAAGAGTCCGTGCTCGTTGACAGCACGCGACACGTTGTAGAGGGATCCGAAGTGGTCGTAGACCTTGTTCGAGTTGATGGGCAGGTATCCCGTGTTGTAAGTGTTGGTGTACCAGATAGCCAGCACGACGAACATGGAGAAGAAGGTGCCGAGGAACTTGCTGAAGGTCGAGAAGAAGGGAACCATCAACGGGTCGGCGTTGTCGTACAAGCTGCATCGTGTTAGTAAGTAGGCAAATGTGTTGGCGGGGGCTTCGGCGGCTGATGCTTACAGGATGTTCCAGTCCAGGGTCGGGAAGGGGTTGAGGCCAAGACCGCTGTTGAAGCCCGTGACGGTCGCGAGATTGCGGTTGTTGGGGGCGATCCAGGTCATCCAGCTGAAAGCGCTGAGGGCCGTGAAGAGGTAGTTGGGGAACCAGAACCACACAAACATACACGCGAAGGCGAGGTAGAAGAACTTCTGCCTGCTGACGCGCCACATGCTACGGAATGGGCCGTCGACGGCCGGGTTCTTGTCCGTGTGGAAAGCAGAGTTCAAGGCAATGGTCACCAGCGATGCCGGCCAAACGCAGTACGAGGGGTAGACAAGGAAACGACGGCAGAGGCCAGCAAGTCCGTAACCGATAAAATTCGTTGAGAGTGAGATGAGCAGCTGGTATCCGAAGTTGGCGGCGTACGACTGGTTGAAGAACTTGGGCAGCCTCGAAGGTGGGTTAGCACAAGACCCGGAGCCCTGAAAGGACATGTAACAGAAAGCACAACTCACCATTGGGTCCAGATGATGTAGTTGGTATACGGAATGTTGTAGGCAACGTTGGCCATGATGGTGATGAGCATGTGCTCTTTGCGGTTGAAGGGGCCGGGGTTGAGCGAGAGACGCTGGCCGGCGACGGTGAAGCCGACATCGGGGAGGGTCTTCTCCCAGAGCTTGCCGACAGGGTAGGCGAGCAGCTGGGCGACGTTGGCCAGAATGGTGATGGAGGGGTAGCGGACGGAGAAGAGCTGGTTGACGAAGGCGAGCAGGGCGGAGAAGATGAGGCCGATAACCCAGGCACGGATGGTGGAGACGGGCATGGCAGGGTCGTCGTGGTTGTCGACGACGGCGCGCACCTCGGCGTAGGGAGAGTTGCCGGTGATGAGGGCGGCCTCGAGCTTCATCTCCTGGATCAGGGTCTCGTGCTTCTCGGGGTTCTCAAAGACGTCGTCGTTGGCGAGGAACGCCTCGATCTTCTCGATGATGACAAGCGGGAAGTTGGGGTCCTTCTCGTGGATCTTGTGGACGTTGAACATCATCTCGCGGACCTCCTCGAGGGACAGCTGCGAGGCGAGCTCCTTGGCCTCGAGCAGGTCGTCCTCGGTGACGTTCAAGTCCTTCTCGACGTGCCCATTGTACTCGGCGCCATCAGGGTGGCTTTCGACGAACTGAAAGAGGAAGCATCAGCACATGTGTCAGAGCCGAGGAGGCTCGAGGGACTTACGGGAGCGGTCTTCTCGTTCGATACCACGCCGCCTTGGGCGGCGGGCCGTTCTTCACGGATGTCGGACATGATGTTGCGCTGGGTCAGTACTCTTCACCTCTTGACAAGGTATGGAAGGCCGATTTGCTGAACCCGTGAACTCTTAGGCTGGAGATTTGCCAGTGACCGAGAACAGGAGCGTCCGGCTTGAGGAGGGGCGAGGGCATCTCGGCCTTTTAACATGCCTTTCCAACGCGGTGAGCTCTCCAGTTACATTGTGTGCTTATCGGCAGTGGAGATATAGGTTCCCGACGGCTTGGCAACGGGCATGCAGAGAGGGACCATTGCACGAGGGTTGCAGCATCGCCACCAGACAATCCTCGAAGAACTGGGATGTCGGGCAGAGCTTCTCCCTTCTTGAACATGGGTGAGCAAGGGTGTTCCGGGGCTGGAACCGAGTTGGACGGCCCCCTCCCCCTCCTCCCTACCCCCCCATACTGCGGCCGTAGTATTGACCTTCTACATTTCGACAAGCCCGATATCAAATGGTCTAAAAGAGGATCAATCTGCATTCTCACATGGCCCTTATTGGGCGCACTCCATCGATGGCACGGCCCTCGGTATAGGGTAGGTTGAGGCGACATATCGTAAGAGGAAGACGAGACAGAAAGATACCAACACGGCCAGATCATCGCGGCACATGTCCCGGTACGCATGAGGCGGGCTTTTCAAAAGAACCCCAAACTTCCAGACAGTTGTCCGAGGGCCTAGGCGGATCGTCTTCTCTCCGCCTTTCCTGGCATGGCATGGCATGCCGTGGGCGGAAAAGAAGCCCTCCACCCCTCCTCCTCTCTCCGGCCTCCACCATCTGGACTCCCTACGGGGCCACTTGTAGACGGGACCCCCGGCCTCTTACAAGGGTGACATTTTTACAGCTGATATCTAGCCGTCGCTGCGAATGCTACCGCTTTTACCGTGGATGTCACACTCTATGCGGATACGGATACACTGTACACGTTCCCAACACGCCGGGTATCTTGGTCTCAGGCCATCGAGTGCGCGCTTCCACTGGCTTTGCCAAGCACTGCTATTCCGGAGCGGCTTGTTCCAGTCAGGAAGGTATGCGAGGTCTCGGCGAGGAACTTTTGGAAGCGTCAATCAGTGCGGCTGCAAGCCCGAGTTTGCCAATCAGGTGGCCGGCGTTGGTTCTTTTGCGTTTCACCCGCGTCGCTCGCCATCACGATGGATTCGTAGTGGTGCGACACTCACGCCCGCCCGTCCGCCTACCCGCAGGCCGTGTCTCACAAACTGTCGATTGGGTTTTCAAAGGAGCTTATTGGAAAAAACCGTTGGAGAACACGCTTGGCCCAAGTAGGGCCTCGTTATCACCGGGACCTGCCTGTCCAACGGTCCACGGCCACTTGCCGTGTCGCCTTGGCTCATTCGCCAGGCGAGTCAGAGAAACCTGGGGGATGCAGCGAGGCTGTAGCTGACGCGCCACGTTACAACGTAGTGCCCCGGTGGTCTTTGCAGCCGGGCGGCCTGCGCCGAGGGAAGTGTCATCGAAGTGGTGTCGAAGTATCCGTAGCACAGAAGGACGGTAGACGAAGGTTGACCGTCCCCTCCCTCTGATGAGCGGTTGGACGGGTTGGTGTTTGACGAAATCGCCACTCGGATTTGGCCTAGCGCACTCAAGATAGACAGACACACACACACGGTCGAAGGACCCTGGGCAGCTGGCGTCCTCCCTCGCCCTCCCCGCTGAGCGGTTCCAAGACCCTCAAGCTTTCCAAGCCTGCTGCCCAAGACCAACACGACATGTGCCCAGGACGTCCAAGACGTGCCATCCAAGGACAAGAAACGTCCAAGAGATCTGCTCCGAGAGCTCGTCGCTACGCCAAGCATTCACACCACCGATGGCAGTGGGAGGTGGCGACAATGTCAGTAGCTTCTGAGGAGACCCATTACATCTTCCAACGCGCGGAGCGAGCGTCCATCTATCCAGAGCCCATCAGTCATCGTGGGTTGCCGCCTTCGTTCCAATCTATTCGTCCTCCCTTACGGAACAAACCCCCTGTTCCACCTAAACCCCCACTCTCCGCTCCATCCCCCCAACTCTAATTACCCGCAATGCGCCTGGTTGTGCGGCTGGTTTGGCCATTCACAAGCCTGGATTTTGCCAGAGTCGTATCGTATTGTCTTGCTGATATGGCAAGTTGATTAACCTTGATTGCCTACCGTGTGAGCAATGCAGTGCTCTGCTTTGGAAGGGTCTTTTTGTCGACCACAGACAGGCCTTGCTCACCCCTCCACTAACCCTTACCTCGTGTCAGCAGGTTGCTTATTTTGCGGGCCAAGCAGCGGTTCTACGGTGAATCGGCCATCCTGCTTCGTTTTCCATTCAACGGTTGGGTTTGTCCCCATCAGGACCGCTGGTTAGGCTTGCTGTCGACCTCGAAAGACAGGCAGTCGGTTCCGCGCCTTGCCATGCTCGAGAAAAACCCGGACAAGGTTTTCCCCGCCTCGTCTTACATGGCTATAGGCCGTAGGGTCCTTTGAATATGGCGGAATTCCCTCAGGGCACCGTCCATCTTGGCATATGACAAACCACCAACCATATCGATGCCTCTGGGGCACTGACGTCTTGGCTTGCAGGGACATATCACCAGCCAATCCGAGCCCAACCACCCACCCGTCCTACAAGACCACATTTCCTCGGTTTAACCCTGACCGGGACTGATGTTCCTCGGGTTATCTCTTTTCGGCAGGTTATATCTCGGCGTCGCGATTGGTGGGCGCACGCTGTTGCGTTGCCTCCATAATACCGTACCGTTGTCGCGCCACCCAATGCAAAAGGCGCGTGACTACTCCGTACTCATATCCCTCATCAGTTTGGTGTTTATTTCTCTCTTCCCGTACGACCTGCAGATGCTTAAAGCGTGCTGCCAAGACACGCCCGGGACCTTTGTGCGGCGCGACTCCACGTCTGATGGCATCGCAATTCCCCGTTTTGGGGACTTATTCCAGGACATCACCAGAGCTGGTTCCGTACCTGGAATCTTGTCCGTGAAGGTCGGTTATAGTTTCTTGGCGATGTTCCCCTGCTGATTCGCGTCTGATTACTCGCCCAAGCGCACTGTTGCCTTGGCCGGCAGAACAAAGTCCGAGGCCATCGTCTGGCAGTCTGCATAGTAGTTCCAGGGAGCGGACGATTGGACGTAGGTGCTACATGAGAGGCTCAAAACGAAGCTTTGCACAAGACACGGGATGGCGCGCAACTCGCCGTGAAAGACTTCTTGGTTACTACTTGGCGATACCAATGCTCCGTCTGGGCGCATGTTGCCGCCTTGGTAAAATCTTGGGAGCCTCGGGGGGGAGGGAGGGAGGAGAGCGCTGTAGCCTGCGAGTGTTGATTTTCGCCCTTATCTTTTCCGGCTTCGCTCCTGAAATTCGGCGTTGGAATTGGTCGATATCGTCGCTGCGTCGCTAGCGCGTGTTGGTCTGGGATGCGTCGACAACCCTCAAGGGCACCCTGTCTATCGCAGACCTTGGCATGCAGCTACGAGTCGTACGGGCGCATGGCCCAAAATGGCTTTTTCGCCGCTTCATTTCTTCATGGAAGGATTATGAGGAGCAGCCGTCGAGAGGGTGGGTGTCGTGTGCTGCCGTCTCTCAACTGCGATCTGATCTCGATTCGAAGGAAATGATGACTTCAACAACTGGGATTATATTGAATGATGTCAAACAATATGATTGGCCGACCATACCTTATCTGAGGCCGCGAACAAGTATCATCACTACGGCGATTTCGGTGTCTCTTACCGGGCTACCATCGATCAGGCCCACGAAACCCCCGTCCGTCATCCCTTGACACTTACTTGGGTAAAGTACCGAGGCCAGACCCTCGTGGACCGCGGAGGGTTGTCAAGAGATATCTTTATTGCTGACAACCACCCCCAAGGCACCAGGCGATCATATACCTCGCTGCGTGAGGTCGCCTCCACCTGCGTAACTCTGGCGTCTTTTTGCATCTTATCAGACTAGGTCTGACCAGCGATCTGCTGTGTGCGTATGGAAGCGGTGTGATGAGCACTCCACAGCCGTCGTTGCCATGTTTTGGAGCTGAGTGCAGGATGCGTGTCTGTTTCGGCCACTTCTCGATGGCGACTTGCCACAAACGGGTACTTCTGTTGGACTGCGGCGTGGAGGTCCAAGACGAGACTTGAATCAAGGACCTTTTTACGATCAGTGACGTAGCAGCCGCTCTATCAAAGTAATGCAGCATTATTGTTTCCTCCCCTATCACTAGCAATATGTTAATGAACGCTCTAATGACCAAAATACTTCAAATCCCTGTGGACCAAACCCCATAACGCTAATCGAATCATCCAACCGGCATGCTACCAGCGAACCCATTGTGTTGAGACCCAAGTGTATCTGCAGTTGTATGTAACCTTTCTGCATACAACCCATCGCGTCCCGTGTACCATGTGGAAAGAAGCCCACACTGGTGGTGCAAAAGGCCTGGAGAAGAAGCACTTCTTCTCTTATCGCCGGCCCGACTGCATGGATTGAAGGATCGAGCGTGCGCCGGCAAAGTCCAGCTCCTGCAGAGTCTCGTCCCATAGTCGGGCTGCGCAAGCCCTTCCCTCTGGCGTGTATACAAACGCGGGGAAACTTTGTTACGCTCTGTTAGTATCCTGGGTCAGGAAGTCTGGGTTCATTGTGAAGGCAACTTACGGGTGAATTTTCCAGTCCATCAGGTAGCTGCCGTGGGTCTCGTCTCCCTTGAGCACCGCGGCATCGATGTATGTCGATGCGCCTTCCTTCAGGCTTCTCGCAGTCAAGGCTTTGACTGTCCCCATGAAAGCCTGCTGAGCACGACTAAGATGCTGATGGAGCCCCGAGCCTTTGGTCAGGCCCGGGTCCACGATATTCAGGATCACATCCTCCTTAGGGACGTAGGATGCAAGCTTGGTGATGGTGAGCTGGCCCAAGAGCTTAGACGTCTGGTATCGATCCATTGGATCAAAGGTGGTGTTGTCGTCCATTCCCGCAATCAATGGTACCTTGTCGTGCTCTAGAAACTTGGCGCCGAACGTGGAGCCCGAGCTGACGACGGTCAACCTGCTCGCCTTCCCAGCGGTTTTCTTCGACTTGAGGATGGGCAGAAGGAGGACGGTGAGAAGTGTGGTCGACAAGTAGTTGACCTGGACCATCTCCTCGTGGCCATGGGGTGAGAGACTGAAGGTCCCTGTCACCATGCCGGCGTTCAAGATGACGATGTCGATCCGAGAGAGGGTGGAGCAGCGATCCGCAAACGCCTGAATGGATTTGTACGACATCATGTCCAAGGCCCAGACCTCGATGTTAGCGGCGGGATGTTTCTTCTTGAGCGTCTCTGCCGCAGCCTCCCCCTTCCCTATCGAACGGACGGCGATGATGAGTCGGGACACATGGTGGTCTAGCAGCATTTCGGCACAAGTCAAGCCCAAGCCGCCGTTGGCTCCGGAGATGATAGCTGTATGTCCTGCGAGAGAGAGGTCTTTGGGCGGCATGAGAGGCGTGGAGCAAAGCTGAGATGCGAGAAATATTTTAGCGCCTCCCCCGGCGAGAGGTGTGAGAGCGATGGAGCTGGTCATGGTGGACGGAAGATGTTAATGAACTGAAAGTTGGATGTTCTCTGTCGCCGATGCTTTCTGCGATGTGTCGAAGAGTATACACACTTGGGAGCCCATTGTCGACGACTTGATCCCTTTTTATACTAGAGAGAGAGAGGGAAAGAGATAGAGAAAAAGATAGACTGTGCGTGCGACAGCATTGCTGTCATCACGAGTGATGGCGTCTCCAAGTCCGATTCCGAGCCCCACGCCGGCTGTGCGCAGTCAGCTCTGCCCTGCGGACGATGGGCGAAGGCATTGGGGGAAATTCTATCCATGATTGAGAATAGACTCGACTATTCCCCCAAAACAGAAAGCGATTGGTTTCCTATAAAGGAAAAGGACACCAGTTAAGGGCATCGGTCGGGAACCGGTGAGTAAGCCGGGGCGCGGTCGGTGCCAAGACCCATAAATCCGGCGATAGTCACATGATTAGGCGGGGTTATAGTCCATAGCAGACGTCCGCTAGGCCGAAAGAGGGAAACAATCGATTACGGGAAGCCGGAGTCTTACATGTCAGCCCAGCGAAAGTGAGAGAGAGAGAAGTGTCGGACCTCAAGTCTTCTCTCCCCATTGTCCAATCCATCCATTCACCTGCTCCTATCAACTGTTTTCCTGTTTAGGCAAACGGTATTTCTCGCCTGTCTCAGCTTGCTGCTGAAGCCTCACTTGGGCTTGCCCCTGGGCCCTATCAACGTATCGTCTTTGGGCCCGGTCCCTCGTTCCTGGCATCTGCCCCTGTCTTTGGCTTGTCAATCGCCATTCCATTCGGGGGACGGACGACACCAAGGTCCTCCTTCGTCTCAACTGGCTCAAGTCCGTCCGGGGTCAAGATGGGTACCCAAAAGCACCCAGGTATGGCTCCTTCGAGGCCAGCAGAGACGCTTGCATCTAATGTCATCATCGTAGCCAACAAAGGCTTCGCTTTTGTTATCACCGACACCTCCGGGAAGCCCAATTCTGAGGACCGGAAGCTGATCCGCAGCCATGTTATGCGAGGCAAGAATAGGCGAGCTTCTCTTGGGAACACAAAGCCTCCATCTGTACGGGTCACAGGAAAGGCTTCCGACCCTTCTCGAGAAAGGAGCCAAGTGTATCACGTGCCGAACGACATATACATGGTTCAGTTTGCCCAAGAGGTCGACGCCGCCTCCCGAGCCATGCTGTTCGAGTGTGAGTGGCCCTGCCCCTTCGCGCGCCCCCTGTTATAGATGCTCAGAGACATGATGGCAGTTTACGGAGCGATCAAGGAAACCATGTACCCAGTCGAATGGTGTCTCAGGTTCGACGATAGCAAGACCCCATGGTTCTACTGGCTGTTTTCAGACGCTGCCTTCATGCACTCCATCTTGTTCACTGTTTGCTTGTTACACGACTCCATCCGTGGTGAAACGAGCAAGCGAACCAGCTTCCACGTGTGGAAAGCGCTGAACCTTCTGAACCGGAACATCTCTGATGAGAGCCTGGCTCTCGCCGACTCCACCATTGCAACGGTTGTCTCCATGTGCATGGTGTCCGAGGTCTTCGGACACCGTGATAGTGCCGCCGCGCATGTCAGAGGCATGCGCCGCATTGTCCAACTACGAGGCGGCATCGAGCGCTTTCGGCATAACCTACAGTTGCATGTCAAGATTTGTCGGTGAGTGGATGATCTGGGTGCCGTATCGAGCATAACTGACGTCGAGCAGCGTCGACATTGGCTGGAGCCTATGTACTGGGGAGAAACCTTTATACTACAGGGACAACATCTCGTGGGAGTCTGCATTCGCCTCCATGCTCGGCAATCCGCCCACCGGGTTTGAACACGACCGACACCTGAGCGACGTTCGCCTGTTTGTGGATTCGACTGATCGCCGGATTGGTAATGTCTTCCAGGACCTACACGACTTCTCCCGCTTGGCCAACTTCCTCGTCAAAACGGGACGAAAGATCGACCCCAATGGTTTTCAGAACCTGATGATCTCCATTCAGTATCGCCTGCTTCACCTAAATCCAATCGAGCAGAGCAGTGTGTCCGAAATGTTCCGTCTTGGAATGATCAGCTTCATCACCACTCTCTTCCTAAAGGTACAAGGGGCCAAGATCGAATTGACCTTTTTGGCTGGTCAGTTTCGCTCCGCATGCCAGAACCTTGACGTATCAGAATTGTCCACCACTACCGTCCGGCTCATGTTTGCCTGGGCACTCGTCGTTGGCGCAATATCCGTATTCGACGGGTCCGACGATCTATGGCTGTTGCCAAAACTCGCATCCCTGCGCGACTCTCTCGGCCCAACGTGGCCGGAAGCAAAGGCAAGCTTGGAGCAAGTCATGTGGATGGACATGGTCCACAGTCCAACCGGTGTCAAGGTCTTCCAGAAGCTTGTACTGCACGTTGCTCAAATACCTCTCGAGGGGCCTTTGCTCAATAGGCGGTCCTCGACCACTGTCGTCAATTTCAAGACATACGGCTGAAGCGAGTGCTTTCTCGAGTACCGTGCTTGAGAATACCGGAAACAATCGAAACGCAAGCCGAATCAATACATAGTATGCGAAAGCTTGGCCAAGCATCTGACAGAGGTTTCCCAAATTGTCGCTCTACACTCTGTCCGCCGAGGGCTACAAATAACTCCGGGCCTTCCTCAACGCGAGCATGAAACAACAACCTCTGGCCATCACCCGACCCAGAACAGAGGCCGAGGTCTCCGCAGCTCTGAGTTTCAAGCTCTCAAAGTTCCTGCAGCAGCACCAACTCCTCACGCCCAATGACTGGCGTCCGACTGTAGGCATCGCAGACTGGGCCCTCGGCGGAGGATACGGCTATGCAAGCGCAATCCTTGGCGCACGTGTCGTCCTCGCAAGGCAAAACCGTGGACACCCACGACCACCCTGACCTGCTCTAGGCTCTGAGGGGCGATGGCAATGGCAACTTTGGCATCGTCGAGATCCAAATCAAGCTTTATCCCCAGACCGGCTTCCTGGCCGGATTCCTCGGATTCCCCGCCGTAGAGGCCGGTGACGTGCTGACCAAGTTCGGCCCACCAACACCCATTGGCACCCTCGTTTCGGGATATTTGGATACTATACGCCAGAACTGACCAGCGTGTTTGGGAGCCATCCGCCTCCAGGAGCAGCTTGCGCAACAGTCATCCACACCGCTCATGGACGAGCCCTCGACAAGAAACTGGGGCCACGTTACCCGCTGCGCACGAGGGACCGCATCGCGGCGATCTCAGCAGGCATAGTCGACGCCACAGCGCAGGCAGCTGAGTACGAGGAGTACAAAAGTGGGCGGACGACATGTTGGACGATTTGTGCAAGCAGCGGCATGCGCTGCCCTAGGGGTACCGTAACCTGAGTTCGGACACGGATGTAGACTGGGCGGCCACATACGGCGAGGGGACGGTGGCTAGGCTGAAGGAGGAGGTCAAGAAAAAGCTTGATCCCGCAAACGTCTTCAAGAACGGCCACCCGCAACTGGGCCTGCTATAAGGAGAAATCTAGGCCGCGGCAGCCGCCCCCATTACCGTTTGTAGGTTGCATTTAGGACGCCTGTGACGTGAAAGAGCTCCCGGCCCGGGGCTTCTCTTTGTGACCCCGCATATGCAGTCAGCATCCCGTGAGGTCCCGTAGTTTCTCAATATTTCAAGCGCTGAATGAAGTAACATCTCTCGGCAGACTTGCCGGGGTTCTTATGCAAAGACCCCAATGCCAACTGCCGCTCTTGGGATGTCCTGATCATCCAAGGCGACGCTCGACTGAGGATGGCCACGGATAAAGCAACATTTGGCTCTGTGGTATGTGTAACCTCGTCGACCATGGTCAGCTACGGTGCGCTTGAGAGATTCTCACTTCTTGGATCGATGAACAGTGACATCAAGGTGGGGCCGGATAGCACCCTAACGAGAAGCTGATCGGGCCGAGCCTGGTTCGTCATGTCTCGTCTACGATGAATAAATTTGAATCACCCGCAATTGGCGCCAGGTAGGCGGTCTGGGCAACGCTTAGTGCGCGCGGCATGTGGAACGCTGTCCCCCAGGAGCCTATCTATGGTCATGCAAGGCGCGTGTTGGAAACCCCAACATTGATCAGGAACAGAAGCCCTAGAACGAACCTGAGAGATACGCCCCGCCCCTCTTGGACGAAGATCCGTCTGATCCGGGTTGCCCTTTTCGGGCCGGCCAATGAGACTCAGCGACCCAAGTACGCCTTTTTGATAGGGTTTTAAACACAGGGTACAGCATCCGCTGGCACGACCGCAGCCGGACGGACCAGCGATGGTGATGGCGAGTGGTAAAGTGGTAAGCTAGCCAACAGGGTTTGCTGAACGTCAGCGGCTGAGTCTGCGAGCAGGCCGGAGGTAGATAGAGGGTGCACCGGATAGTCAGATCAAAACGATAAAGGTGCCCGCGGCTGCTTCGTAGACGCTGTGTAGAGCCTCAACCCTCTGACAATTGATGTCTGCTGGTTCCGTGGTGTGCTAGGCTACGAAAGGCGCGGGATGAGCCTGAGACGGAAGACTGACGAGCGTACTAAAGGACGCACGGCTACCTACGGTGGAGGGGAGGGGGGGATGATATCATTTGGATGGAGTTATCAAACCTCGGCCGTGTTTGCGGTCGCGAAGTTCATCAAAGACTTGAAGACGAGAAACAGGGGTGGGTTTTCACAAGTGTCACCCGGAGGCTTTTGACCGTGAAGCAGCGAACCCCGCTCGACATCCTCTGGGAATTTCCTGAAGTGGACTCGCTAAATCTACAGCTCTCATAGGTATAGGTGGTATCCGTATAGGTAAGTGGCTTCCCCATGGACCTAACGGAAACGGCCTCGTCTCCGGGCGCGCGAGATGGGTTGCCCAGGCGCTAGGACGGGTTGTCCGGTGTGCAAGTGCGCTAACATCGTGGTCCGGTTAGGGCGGCATAACTCGTCGGTAGGTAGCAGAGGCTATGAAAGGGGTAAAGATCATCGACTTTGCTAGAGTGAATGAGGTATCCCCTTCTCACGTACAGATACATACCTAGGTAGTAGATAGTACCGGGAAGCTCAACCGAGTTTTAAGGTGTGGCGACCTGGCAACCCTGCGTGGCCGGATACAACGCTAACAACCGGCACAAGGAGAAGAAGACAAGAACCAACGCCCCCCAATGCCTCCATCCCCTCGCTTCGCGGCTCTTTTGAGTGCCTCTTATATAGCATCTTTTGGTGAGCTTACTCGCGATCTCGCGTATCGCTTCCAGTCCACGGAAAAGGGAGAAACGACGAAAGAATAGAGAGCATCGGTGTCTTGTGGGACCATGCAATGCAGAAGCGAGATTGTCGGCGTCTCGATGAGCAGGGTTACAATGGGTCATTGCTCTTGCGCCAAGCCGATGACTGACTGGAATTTAGAGCGGTCAGTGAAGATATCGCGACATGGTTATTAGTAGGCTATCTGAACAATGTAAAAAACCTTGTATGCCGATTTTTGACATGCAAGACTTTGTCTGTGTAAAAGTCGATGTGGTATCCGTATACTGTCAGGAGAAGGACTGGATGGGTGCACACACGAATCCTGCTAGCCTGCTGGGAGTTAACTCGGGCAACCGGACACCGCTACCGTAAGCCGCAGTGGCCAAAGACACGCGGTGACTTGTATGGGATTTCAAAGACCGAGATTTGAAAAGCCCATCGGACTTTAGTGGTGTAGGGAGTGCCCAGCCGGTCTTGACCTCTGAATGGTCAGTTCGCTCCAACCTGCACGTCCTCTGACTTGTATGGAACATGGGATGAGATGATGTGCTATGACGCAAATACGGGGAACATTGAACGGCCAAAAAGACGAAATGCTCAGCTACCGAGTTGTTGAAGGCGAGGGGCACAAGGGGAGAGGGGCTGAGACGTGCGTGGCTGCGACGGCAGATGTCAGGCCAAAGCCTGTTTGACGAGTCCTTCGCGGGGAGGAAATGTGGCTCATTGTCGCGTTTTGTGACGGGCATCGCAAATACCCTCACAGTTTTCAAGTCAACCACCTACAGGTTTGCCACTGGTGGCAAGCCGCACTTTAATTACAAAGCTGCTGGAATTGTCCAATGATAGCAACCGGAGTCGCTCGGAACGCCGGGGGCTTGGCAGAGACACCACACGTTGGATGTAGGCCGCCATTGCTAGCTACACTACTAGGTAGTGTATGTATCTCGTAGCACTCGGTAGTATCCTGGTGTTTCTCAGTAAACAGGGGATGAGATGGGATGGGAATGGCAGGCCTCTGAGTGGACGAGACGAAGTGTTACTGGCAAACGACTCCATTATAGTGGGATGCTGGTCCAACGAGAGACTGTCGAGAGGGAGTGGTTCCCGGCCGATCAGTCAAGGTCCAAGGTCACATTGATAGGTGTGGAGTTCGTGTGGCCCGCTCAGCAAAGGCGTTTTGGTCTCCCGGAAGAGTTTCCGGCACTACAGTCTGTTGCGTTGGCAGCGTCCAAAACCTATTTTTCAGTCCGTGCACCCGCGCCACACAAATGCAACCCCATGCAAATTCGCGTTTTTTGGCTGACAGGATCTAAAATCGACATTACCCAACATTAGATAGTCGTAACAACTTAAAGTCGCGCATACTAGCGACAACAATAATAATAAGGGGATTTAGACCTATATAAAGCCACTTGTTAGCTATATATCTAATTATCTCTTTAACACTTGCCCTGCAGATAGGTTTATTCCCTATTATAACAGTCTATAAGAGCACGCCTTTTAAACAGGAGGCTAAGTTAATAAAGTTATAGAAGTAATATATATATAAAGAGAGTAAAGTCTATAATAACCTTATTACTATTACCTACTATTACTATCCCTTACTAAATAAATACTATATTAAATAAATATAATAGCGCTAAAGTTAAATAAGGATAAGCAAAAGAAAATAGTATAGATCCTTAAGTTATTTAAGAAAATAGATAAAAAGATTACTAAGTAGCTAGGCTATACTACCTATATAGTCTAGTAATAGCGTTATTATTATAAAATAACTAGCTAAGTAGTAATTTATCTTACTAGTTAGTAAAGCTAAATAAAGTTAGAAGTATAGTAACTATATAAGTTATTAAAGCTTCTTACTTACTATAATAACCTTAGCCTTAAAAAAATATAGGATTTCCTTTATAAGTAATTTAATATAAAGGTTTATAAGTTAATAATTAGTTAGTAGCTTTACGTAGCTAGGTAGACGTTAAAGTCTATTTATATTATTACTACCTAAAGAGATAAAGTACTATAGTGTAACTAGATATACACTATTTATAAATACTACCTAAAGTAATTAGTATTTATTAATAAGTTAGGTGTTAATAAATATATAAGTATATAGAGGATAGGTTAGGCACTAAAAGGACTATTACTATATTAAAAAGATAAGCTTAAACATAGGTAGTAATACTAAATCCTTTTTACTTTTACTATAGATAGTATCTTTAATATATTAATATACCTAAGTATAACAAATAGTAATAGGTTTATAGTATAGATTTAAAATAAGGTTTTACCTAAGTGTAGTGCCTTTCTTACTATAAAGTTAGTTATTATTATAAATAATACTAGCTTCTACTACTAATAAGATATTTAAAAGGTATATAATTTAGCTAGTATATAACTATTATATCTACTACTATACTTACCTAACTTTAACCTTATTAAGGAGGTATTTAGTAACCTTAAGAAGCTCCTTTATAAGCAGTACCTAAGATAAAATAAAGATAAAAAGGATTTATATAACTTTAATAAGCTACTTTATAATTATATAGTAGAGGTTAGTTATAGTATAAAATAAATAAAAGGCTATTTTTATTACTTATTTATTAACTTTAATAGTATATAAGGGTTATTTAATAATATATTAATTAATAAAGATAGTAGTAATATTAAAGGTGCCTTTATAACTAGTAAAGAAAGTGCTATTATTAAAGTAGTAATAAAAAAAATAACTATTAATAAATAGTAAAGAAATCTAACTATAGTAACTACCTATTTACTTTTACTACCTTACTTTTTATTAGCCTTATTACGTTACTCTTTATCTTTATTACTTTTATATAAATCTATTAATAACCTATTATTAGCTATATATATTAGGTTATTAGCTTTACTACTATATAACTTATTAAGGCTAAAGTTATTTAGCTTGTTACGTATTATAAAGTTAAGAAGGCGTTAACTTATATAAATAATTAGTAAAGATAAATTACCTAGTTATATAGGGGAGGAAATAAAAAGACTATCTACTGCCTAAAGGTTAGTATAGTTATAACTACTAGATTTAATTTAACTAACTAAATCTGCTTTTCTTAAGGTTACTTATCTTATTAGTTATAGTATTTATAACAGGCTACTTATTAACCTTATTAACTTTATTAACTTTATTAGTAACGTATAGTAATTTATACTATTAGTTAGAGCTAGTAAAGTTATATTTACTACGCTTATAGTACTACTATATAAGTAAAAAAGTCTTTATTAACCTT